TGCTATCTTACTCATGATACAAAACGTCAAGTCGAACACAGTCAAAAAGTATGGTTGTGTCTTCTCCAAAAGCCACCGAGTGGTTCGCCATGTTCGAGTGGTCATCTAATCGTTTCTTTCAAACATGCCAGCAGAAAAGCCTCAAGCTAGCCGTAGGATGTTGCTATGTACATCCAGTGCTTCAAAAGGAGTGTTGATTACACATGGATCCATATGTGCACCTGCATATCCGGCAAAGGCGGGAACATGCGGAGCAAGATCCCATGCACGACCAAGTGTGCTGCATGCAGAGTACTCGAAAAGCATCTGGCTTCCTGTTCGAGACGTCGGAGTTCTCTCGAAAGGGAACAAGCTGAAATCGGCAACGAGTGTGCGCATGAAGTGGGCAATAGAGCGCTGTTGACACGTTACTTGCATTTCTATAACCTTTACCCAAGGGTATTATGACATGCGCTCCTTTTTAAATCTTGAATCAAAGAATATGAGTTCAAATCCAGCTGCCAGGAACAATATGATACCAAAACCACGGAATGACCAAATCAAAACGCTAAAACAGCATGTGCACTATCGATGAGAAACCGATCGTAAACAACGACATTAAACCGTTACTATCCCTCGGTCCTAACTACGCCAGCGGAAGCTCTGATATCGAACTCGACCCATCTTGCTCTTCCTTCTCGCCTTCCTCTCCCGCCACTTTCATCTATACTTCCTGGGTTCATGACTGTACAGCCAAAGTACTTGACTACAAATGCCGGTGCCTCGCTATCTGCGAGCACCAAGCTCGTCGGCAACGGGTAGAGATTCATTGTGTGTGCGAAATCCCAGTGTAATGGCCGCGCTGAGAGTGGGAAGGGGCTTAAATGCGACTGTGAGAGTATTGTTCGAGTGAGCGCGCGCGCTGTTTGTGTTTCGAGATCAACATCTGGTTGCTGCTGTTGCTGTCGGGCTGGCGGCGGCCTGAGATCAAGATCCATGGCGTCCTGCTGTTCCACTTCTTGTTGTTGATGACTCGGCGCGTATGGCATATCGTCATCTACATCCGGAGGTGGCTTGTTGAATCGTATCGATTGTCTTTGTAATCTTCCAGCCATATCGTCCCTCAGTATTGCCATCTCGCCCTTCACGCCGAACCAGGTCAAGCGCGAGGGATTGGATGTCCAGATTACTTCCCCTTCTTTGCCCTTTGCCTTGCCCGCTCCCCAGATCTCTCTGTTCGCTTCAGCAACGACCTTTCTAATCCTGCTTGTGAACATTGTTGGAATAGGTTTCCTCGGTAATGGTGTAGCGGCACCGGCGGAGAACGCACTCGGCCAGGCGTCGTTGTCGCCGGGAACGAGTACAAGTGTAGTATGTGCGATGAGAGTTTGAAACTCTGCAAGGACAGAAGCGAGTGCGTCGAAGTGTTCTTTGTATTCTATACTGCCTGTTCCTGGTACGCCTGCCAAACTGGCTTTCGAACTGAAGTTTCCCATCAGGATGATGCCGAGAGGATAGACTGGGTGGGCGTCGGTAGGATCGGGTGTGTATGTGCGTAAGAGGGTACGGAGAGCAGACAATGTGGATGGGACATCTAGATGGAGGTCTGAGGCTATGACGATGTTGTGTGCTGTGTCGGGGTCGAGGAGTTTCGATGCAATCTTGTTCATGCGAGTACCGGTCGCGCGCTGAGACCCGACGCCTAAGAAGTCTGTCCATCCGAATGCTGGTCCAGCCAAGCTGTTCTTGTCGGCCTCTTCGGCGCCCCCCAAAGTTGCTGTTCTCCGTTCACTGGGAGGGTGTCCGACTGAGAAACCTAGGAATTTGCCGCCTATCGTGCCACCAATGCCGCTGCTGCCTCCTAGCGTTGATGTGGCACCAGCATCCTCTTCATAGCTGCCCTCGACTAAAACAATCATGCCTGGTGCAAAGTATGCGCCATTCTCAGGAATTGGGCGTGCGTGTTGAATGTCCAAGGTAATTGTGCCTGTGAGATCGGAAAGTGAGAGCACACTAGTGGCCGAGACTGTAAGCATGCCTAGCAATAGATGCGTACTTCCAGTCCGACCAAGCAGGTTTGCGATGGGAGTGATGGTGTTCATCTGTGAGGTTGCAATGGATCCTGTGCGGCTTAGGGTAGCAGACCGCGCTGTAGAGAAGGTGGGCGCTTGAAACGTCTCGTTACGAAGTATGCGCTGGTGTACGATGTGGTACCGTTGACGGAAGAGCTCAGTCTTGTGTTTTGGATCTGGGAAGAGTGATGGCTTTTTGGCAGATCTGTCATGGTCAGCAGATATTCAACTCTCGCTTGCTCTCTGCATACTTTTCGAAATGCTTCTGGGTAGCATTGTATATCAGCTTTGGCTGGTCGAAGGCGCCAATGACCTTCATCCACTCTCTTGGATCTCTCAGCAGATCTTCTTCTTCGTCTTTGTCTTCCACCTCCAGACTGGACATGCCAAAACTGCTGTTACTGTCCAGACTCGAGTGGTTTGTCTGGCCGGCCATTTCAGGTCCAAAGTTGAAACTGGTTTGCCTACCCAGAGTCGACCCTTGTACTACTCTTCCTCCGCTCATGGAGCCTTCAAGTGTCTTCAGTATGCCTCTGAGTGTCTCATTGTCGCCTTCTACGATGACTTGACCACCGCATTTCTTCCAGCTCTTCGCAATCTCTTCCAAGACCTTCTCTGCTAAGCCTTCCTCTCTCCATCCTGATCCGCAGTGCTTCCCTACAAACGTTGCTAATGCTTGGAGGGCAGAGGATGTGAGGGTGAGGTTGTGTTTCTTCGTAAATGTCCGAAAGGCAAGCGGTCGCAATGTCGCCGGTGGAAGGAGTATAGGTAGCACAGTCGACTTTCCAACTGGCTTCAGTGCAGGCGGGGCGCGTATGGGGGCTGTTCTGCGGGGATTGATGGGATGAACGGGCGTTCCGAATGCGGGCGACGAAGATGGGATAAGATCTGAGGGTACCGCTGAGGGCTTCTCTGGTCTTCTCGAGGTCGCCATGTTGGTAGTGGTGAGGGTGAAGTTGTGCTGTGTCGCAATGTTGGCAGGCGGTCGGTATTCCACTTTACGCGTGCGACGCGTCCAGGCGCGATTTCGCGCTAGGTATGGGCTAAGCTACTTTTCCCAGCAACCACCAATCCTCCAACCCAAACACAACACTAAACATCCTTCACGCCTCCTTTATCCGCTCGAGAAGTCCGTTATTGCTGTCGCATACTCCACACAATATCCGCGAACTTGATTAATCTCACACAATGGCCGACCCTGCGACTGAACTGCTCGCGACCGTCACTGAGACCGAGGACCTGCCCAGGACGAAAGAGAAGATGGGAGAGCTGTCGCAGGCTGCTTCTATCCACTACTCCACCAAAAACTACGACGCTGCTGCCGAACACTACGCCGATGCCGTCGAAATTCAAGCTGAACTCAACGGCGAGATGGCACCGGAGAACGCTGAGCTGCTCTTCTACTACGGACGCGCGCTATACAGGTCCGCAGTCGCCAAGAGTGATGTGCTAGGCAACAAGGTGGCAACACAGGAAAAGAAGAAGAAGCAGCCCAAAGCAAAAAAGGCCACCAAAGCAGAGACGGGCGAGGGGTCAAGCGCCGCAAAGGCTGAGCCCAAGGAGGAGTCAGTAGAGAACAAGCCATACTTCCAGCTCCAGGGCGACGAGAACTGGACCGATTCTGAGGATGAAGACGATGACATGCAGGATGGCGAGGAAGAGGAGGACGATGACGACCTCGGAAACGCGTACGAGATCTTCGAGCTAGCTCGCGTCCTCTACGAGAAGCAATTAGACTCGCCAGAAGGAGATGCCTCAGATAAGGGCAAGGGCAAAGCAGAGCTAAGTCCACGAGCACGCATCGTCAAGGAGCGTATCGCAGACTGCCACGGTTTCCTTGTTGAGATCTCGCTAGAGAACGAGCGATTCCACGACGCCATATCAGACGCCCGCAAAGCGCTCGCCTTACAAGAGGAATTGTATCCTTTTGAACATGAGAACGTCACAGAAGCTCATTACTCGCTTTCCCTCGCGCTGGAGTTTGCATCCGTCTCTAAGGTACGAGAAGACCAGACCGGACAAACGACCGAAGAGTCCGCCAAGCAAGAACCAGGGAAAGAAGACGAAGACGGTATAAACTGGGAGCTGCGCAACGAGGCTGCTGAGCAGACTGATCTTGCCATAAAGAGCCTAGAGGCACGATTGAAGAAGGAGGAGGCCGCACTCGGCTCTGACGCGCTGAAACCTGAGCAGAAGAAGGAGAAGCAAACAATCATTGAGGATAAAAAGGGTATGCTCGAAGACCTCAAGACTCGTCTTGTAGATCTCAAGTCAGATCCCACCAAGCAGGAGTTTGACAGTATTGACTCGTCGGTGTTCAAGGGTCTGCTAGGAGGCCTGTTGGGCGCAGATTCCGCAACGCAAAAGGCGAAGCTTGCGGAAGCTACCAAGACCGCGAACGATGTGTCTGGTATGGTGAAGAAAAAGGTCAAGGCGCCTGCTCCGGCACCATCAGGTTCAAACGATGCCGGTAGCAGTAAGAGAAAACTAGAAGTTGATGATGGCGGCGCGGAGGGCAAGCGAGCGAAAACCGAGGATCCCGCGTAAACAGTTTACACTGCGGATTTAAAAGAGCACAGAAAGTTGACAAGGCATGGTTGATACCTAGGTAGTTGTCGAACGGTGACCCTTATGTTACAACACGACAAACGGTAACGGGCTGATGAATTGACATTGGGCTTGGAGCATATGAAGATATTTCCCATTACATTGCACAACTGGACTTGCTCTAATATGCGCACCGACATGAAGTGGCGGTACCTAGCCGCTTTCCCCCAATCCGTCTACCTGAACCAATATCGCAGTGCCATGTGTGCGCAAACGCCTGAGTATATGAGGAGTAAACGAACAAGTGCAAAGAACGCCCATTGCTGAGCGGATGGTATACATGTTTGCGTCTGTCCTTGATATGTCGCTGACCGCCAACAATCTGTTGTAAACGCCCACGTCCAGACGTGTTGCATAATGAAGATCTGAATGTCTACCTGCTCAGGCCTAACAACCTCATGGACATCTCAACCTAAAGAAAATGCTAGAAGCAAAGCGTCGCACCTCATCGTCTCGTCACCGTCAACACACTTCGATTCGCAACGATGGCATCTACATTATCGGTGACACGGAGATCGTTGTCAAGAACTCAGGATACATGGGCTACGACACAGCACCAACACATGGTCCGCCCCGAAGTGAGGGTCGCCGACATGGAAGATTTGAGAAAAGTTCTTACCCTTCAAAGCACCGGAAAGAGATCAAAAGAGCAGATGCAGTTAATAATGGTTCTCAAAGAGCCCGTCACCGCCGTCATGGGCGCCATCCTTCCCGCCATAGTCATGATAGCTCAAGTACAGAGGGCATATCGAGTCACCGCGATGAGGTGTCCGTAAAACACAGCTCGAATGGTGCGTCGAACGAGTTTGATGTTTCGCCACCTCGTGCCACCAAGACACTCATGCTCCTTCCTAATTACCCACCGATAGTGGATCATGTGCTTTTTCAGCCTATGGTACAAGAGAACCTCAGGGTACAAGAACAACCTCGAGTGGATTTCCTGGATTCACGTCAGAGACCTGAAACGTCCCATCACAGGCTACAATGCTCCGCTTCTGGCGTCAATGCCGAAGCTAGACATCCACAAACTCCAAGCGATCAGTCTTCTCGTTCTGACGAAGAGTTCTTCGATGCTTTATCCAGCCTACCTGATGGTCTGGCTCGTGCTGTCAATTCAGAGTCTTCGCAAGATTATAAGCTGTTGGAGGAGAGAGCATTAAGAATTGAGTAGGAATTCCAAACAGTATACCACAATCTTGAAGGAAGCTGAGAGGCAGCCTCGACAGCCTGGGTCGACGGTGAGAGTTTTCTAATTTGACAGTATGACAGGCTCGCTGCAAATTGAGCATCTATTAACACATTCTTTTGGTCTACCGAAGTCATCTTCGCTTTTGCTATACTAACCATCAAGAGTTTGTATCATAAAGGATACAATGACTACAACGCCAGTGATTGCAACATTCTGCGCAACCTTGATCTATCTTATACGAATTGTGGCTGCCACATGCACAACATACCCAAAGGTATACTAGTGGTGAACAATATCGACGTTGTCCATAGGGCTGACGATATGGAGTTTTGTATTTGGGGTCTATAAGTTCATGGAACGTGTTTGGCTTTCCAGTGGAATCGTGATCGTGTGAGTTGTACTGCGACGTGTCGCTAAGGGGGAAACAGTCAGGGCAATATGGGCTGCGGGAGATATGGTACGGGCCTTCGCCGCAGTGGACGCAGTAATAAAACGTCAAGAATGATGTACCGGTATCTTTAGGTGCGGCCTGAGGTTCTGGGCTCGAAGCGTGATGGCCATTATCGGCGGCGTCAAGGGCTGAGAGCCACGAGTTCGACATGGGATCATCCTCATTTGCGTCGGTGGCGCACGGTGGAGATTGGATTGCAAAACCGGGTGGCGTTGTAGGGTCCGTAGCTATCATCAATTAGTCATGTAGCAACAACCATAAGGATGTGTTACCTTGGAGAAAGCTATCTCGCATGCTTGAATCCGAACGGCGGCGATCCAATTCCCTTTCTATGCGCTTCTGGTCGACGCGAACGCCGTTGAAGACAAGATGCGTCTGTCGACCTCGATCCGCTCTTTGTTGGACACGAGGCAAGATTGCATTCCACTCTCTATCCGTAATTTTCTTGCGCATATTCCAAAACGCAATTTTATTCTCATACTGCGACTTACTATGTTCAGGTAAGCTTGATTGAGTACGTTGGGTCCACGTGAATACATACGTAGGCGAGAAGCCATAACGCCTCGTCATAACATCCATGACACCATCGTAACCATCAAGCTTTCTATCTTCAACAATATACAGCTCCCAGATAGTAATCTTGTGAAAGTTCCAGACGTCGTCAGGTATCCGTCTGGCAAGCGATCTCGACATTGTGGTAGACGTTGGAGCGTTATGGCTGCGCTGATTTAGTAAAGAACTGGAGCTGGAATGAGAGGAGGTTATGGAGAAATGAGATAGAAAGTATTTATAAGAATAAAAAAGGTAGAAGAGGTTTGCTGGCGTAGTCAACTTGATCTGTGTGGCTACGTACATGATCATTATGCTCGACAGGAGCACCAATAATGCGAAACCTGAGTATGCCATACTAACCTGATTACGACAGCCTTCATGGAGATCGCGCCCGCTTGAACCAATCATGCAAAACCAGAGATGGAAATTCCCCGATATCCGACATATGAAACAAATACAGCACGTACCTCCACCTACTGGATAGCCAATGACGCCAAACCTAGCTTAATTACCGTCCATAACAATGAACATACACAAAATCCATAACATCTTTTCTCCTAACGAAGGTAACCGTGCTACAATCTTTAGATCTTCACCGATCTCAAATGTTCGAAAACATGTCTTTCTGGTCCATCGAAGCCACCATTGCGTCTGCAACGCTCATCGTAATATGCATGCCAATCGGCATGACCTTATAGTGTACAGTGAAGAACAGAAGAGAATGTAGGCGCAGTCATTTGGGTACCTCAGTCTACCACAGCTCTTTCTTCACGTTCAACGACGGTAATAAGTAGACGTTGAGGGAATCAACGGAATTGAGTTTGAGAGATGTAATGCAGAGTCCATTCTTCTTACCTCGCCTAAAAACGCGACTCAACACCTCATCTTCAACTTCATTTTCCTCTTACCTTAATGAAAGCATTGTTGTCATGTTGGAAAAGCTAGGCTGACATAGATGAAGGAACAGCAGGATAATCGCTGCATCTTGTGAGCTCTATGGAAGGATCAGAGAAAAGACAAATATCAGAACATGGCGTAGGAGCGGTGAATTTTGACGAACAGTCGTGGTATGCGATTCGCGATCAGTTGTACGATCTTCTTCGTAGCTTCCAGTACAATGCGGGTCGAAGCGGGGCAGGCGGCCCGTGCGGCAAGCCTGCGTCATCGCCTCCTGCGCCTTCACATATTCGTCAGCTAATCCTAAGCTCCGCCGCCCTGGAACACGACTCAAAAACCCAAGACCTCTACCACAAGACCATCCCAAAAGTACAAGTATCGCAGTCATGGCCTCCAACCACAACGACAACCCGTGGGCAGACCAAGGGAACCCACAAGGACAGAGCCAGCAGAGCCACAACCCCTACCAAGCGTACCAAGACCCGCCTCACAACCCCTACGCCCAACAACCACCCCCGAACCCATTAGGTCAACATCCCCCTCAAGAGCCGTACGTACAGTACCCGCCTCAACACCAGGACACCTCACCGTGGAGCCAAGAGCCAAGCCAAACTCAATCTCACAATCCATTCATGCAATCACAATCCCATGACCCTTCCCAACAGTCCTACCAGCAACAACAAACCCCCCAATCCTCTTACCCTGGACAAGAAGATGTTCCGCCAGGTCTACCGCCCCGCCGCACAGCTACGGAGATGGCTCTTCCTACCGGACAGGACCGTTCGCACCAGATTGAGGTGATGCAGAGTTACGAGGCTGCGGGACGAAAAGACGATGACGACGAGAATGTTGAAACGCTGCAACGAGAGTTTCCGAAGATAGATGGAAGTCTGATTGCAGCGATCTACGGGGATACCAAAAGCTTGAGCGCTACGAGGGAAATGTTACATGAACTGCAGTAAGGCAACTTCGGGGAAATCCTATATATCCATGGACGACGAAATGAAGTAGGGGTAGGAGAGTCACTATACGCCGAAATATTCATGAGCATCATTATGGAGGCTTTGCAGGTACAGAAAGGTGCTGTAATTGCATAGTCCAGATGTCGGAAACGTGCCTTTCCTCCCCAACTACTCTACCAAAGACCTTTTTGTTCCTCACTTCGCGTATACTGATTCCCCTTCTTGTGTTGCTTTTCTGCAGAAGAGTTCCCGTGATCTATCTTGACCGAGTCTCACGTGCAAGGCTATATGTTCAGCCTATACTTGGGGCGCACGGGCTTCGTGCGTCGGAATTGCATCCTAAACCTCGCAGCAGCTCGATGCGAGACTCCAATCATCGGCAAGAACGCCTTTTACGCTCACCGAAAGCACCTACAAGATTTCCGGTTCGACAATCTGCGAAACCAGCCTGGTGGTGTTGGTCTCATGTATAGAGAAATGCGATGAACTAGCACAAGTCATATTTTCAGGTTCACGAAATTTATCACGACGGGAAGCATCGATATCACATGGTGTTTCACTGCCGGCAAACCTTCCGTCCTTGAATGCGGCATGCCCAAAGGGGAACCCCGCACTTTTGCCCAGCCGGCCCAGCTAGCATGACTTCAGCCCAGCTAGGACGGCATGAGTGCGTCTCTACGAAGCCTTGCCCTGGCGCACTATTCCATGTCGCTCACCTCCGCATTTGCTTCTCCGCAGGCCCATAATTTCCCCGGATATGGTCCGTGGGGAGATTCTACCAGGTTTCTGCCGCTACTTTAGATGCTTCGACATTAAGCTGGATGAGGATATGCCGATGTACATCTGTAAGTGGCTGGGACGAGTATAAAGCCTATATGTTTGTGGTTCGTAGCCTGAGTCCGTCATCACACTGTTCTGCAGTTCCTTCCTGTCAACCAGACTATTGGATTCAGGATCTTCATTATGCGCTTCCTCGAGCTCAGAGGCAAGAGCCTCATTGCCGTTATTCTGTTGACCTCTGGTCTTGACTTTCTTCTTTTCGGATGTAAGCTTGAAGTCAATCATGTTACACTGTGGCTATGATGTCTAACGCGACTCAAAGATGACCAAGGACTCTTCGGCGGCATCCTGGGCGGCCAGCGCTTCAAAGATACCCTTGGCAATCCCAACCCAACCATGACCGGCCTCGTCACAGCCATCTACGATATCGGCTGCGCTCTCGGTGCCGTTGTGGCTTTCGTCTTTGGCGAGCGTATCGGACGCAAGCGTTCCATCATCCTCGCTAACCTCATTGTCGTAATTGGTGCTGCTATTCAATGTGCCAGCTTCGACTACTGGCAGATGTTCGTCTCCCGCATCATCGGTGGCGTTGGTGTCGGACTGTCAACGGTTGCGGTACCAATCCTACAGTCAGAGACACTACCTGCACACAACCGTGGTTCGCTTCTTGTTGTCCAGTCCGCCTTGATCATCATTGGAGTTGCTGTCGCGTCTTGGCTATGCTTTGCGACGCTATATGCCGATAGCTCGCTGCAGTGGCGCTTTCCTGTCGCTTGCCAAATACTGTTTTCACTGCTTGTGTTGGCGCTTTGCCCGTTCTTGTGCGAAACTCCAAGATGGTTAGCATCGCGTGGAAAGATTGACGAGGTACGTAATCTATCGCATGATGAACACATTGACCCTAACGCAACTCTCAGGCGAAGTATACCATCAGTCGACTTTTGGACAAGCCGCTGGATGATGAAGAAGTGCTGGGCCAACTCCAGGAAATCCTCGACGCGATCGCGGCAGAGAGTAGCGAGGAAGAGCCCACCTGGAGCGAAGTCTTCAGCAATGCAACCAAGACCCGCAATCTACACCGTGTTGTTCTCGGAATGGGACCTTATATGATGAACCAGTGGAGTGGCATCAACGCCTTGTGCTACTACCTGGCCTACATCTTCCAGCAGTACCTCGACTACTCTCCGAGCATGTCTCTCATCCTCGCCTCAGTGGCTTTTACTCAGTATGCTGTGTTCTCGTGGCCACCATACTTCTACATCGACAAGATTGGGCGCCGATGGTCGGTTATGGGCTCGTCAGCCGGTTGCGCAGCATGTATGGCGATCATCGCCGGATGCCTGGCCACAAACAGCTATGCTAGCGCCGCAGCAGCAGTCGCCTTCATCTTCTTGTATCTCGACTGCTTCACCCTCGGTATATTGCCTGTGTCGTGGTCCTACTCAGCCGAGATTCAACCTCTCCGTGTCCGAAACAAAGCGACAGCTGTCGGCGTCTTCTCGCATTGGATGTCGAACTTCGTCGTCGTTATGGTCACTCCCATTGGCCTAGATAACATTCGCGGACATTACTTCTGGGTCTGGGCTGCGGTTTGCGCATCCTTTGTACCGCTTACCTACTTCTTTGGTGTCGAGACTTCTGGACGCACGCTCGAGCAGATCGACATTATGTTCTATGAGCAGCCGAGGCTATGCATGGGACTAAATCCAGAGAACCGAAGGGTTGTAAGGGCGAGCAAGTCAGATGAGGAGAAGAGATTCAGGGAGTTTGCGCACGTCAGCGAGAAGAACCAGGCTGTTATGGAGGAGAGAATCAGCCAGAGTGATTAGACACAACCCGTAAGGCACACAAGGGCATGTAAAGGAAGAGCTAGTCCACTGAAAAAGCCTACGGACGAATGAAAGCAACTTTGAATGAACTGCGAGCAAACAGCTGCGCTTCTCCTACGACTACTTGAGCTCATCGTTCTCTTTGTCCGCTTCTTTCATCATGCCACCGTTGAGGTTTTCGTCCAAAACTAGGGCTGGAGTTCGTGCGCAAGAATCTTTTCATGCTCAAGCGCCTTGATAGCCCAAGCTGTAGGCACGCCCCGATTTCCAATCCGCTTATGGCTCCTGCCGAACCGACACACCCACCCAATTTCCCAACCCCCATCACATTCTTGCAACTCTTTGAGGTATTCGAGGTCAGGCTGGACCCACACACCAAGCTTCTGGCATGCTAAGACACGCGCAGCAACAGCGAAAGAATCTCCGCGGCGACCGACGTATCCTCGGAGCGCGGCAGCTATCGGCTCTTTGAGTGATTGAATCTCAGGCGCAGTTGTGTTCGCCTCTACAAGGCAAGACAAAAAGTATAAGAATGTCTCAGCAGAGAGATACATGTCCGTACCATCGATATAAGCGCGATTTAGAAGGATGCGACGAATGTAATCAAGCTCGAGTTTGACATCAGCGCCGCGGTTGTACTTGTAGAAAACTCGAATGACATTGGTAATGACGATCGGATCCAAACGAGGTCGCTTGTCGCAGAAGTACGTCAAGACAAGGCCGTCTTGTGCGTGCCTGTTTTGAAGCATATGATCCAGTACTGGGTTGGCCGAAGAGGCGGGCGGCGAAAACACAAGCAAAGCGTTGGCAGTGTCATCGACATCATCAGGGACTAGATGCCATTGCGAGATTAGTATGGGTTGAATACACTTAGCATGCGAGATATCTTACAGGTCTTTGTCGTACCAATAGGAGGGCCGTTAAAGTAGTTCCATATCTTAGCTTCCTTGCTCGCTTGCTCAATCGTTGCATTGATCTCCGCAGCATCGGTGTTAGGAGGCGAAAGACTGAGGAGGCTTGCGTCTTCGAGCTCCCAATGAATCATGAACTGAGAGAAAAACTCATTTAGCTCAGGTCCGTCTTCGATGCGAGAGACATGTTTGCCGGCATTGTCAGTCATGTATCGACGCGCTCGTGTTACGGGATCGAACAGCTGGTTGCGCAACTGACGCATCAGAGCGCCTGGGGACTCGAATACGATGCCCTGCATACCGAATGAGCGCGCTGTATTGACTTGTCCGCGCTTGTCATCGACGAAGATCACAGATGTTGGATCGCGACATCCAATGCTGTCCAGCACATGCTCGAAAAAGCCGAGCTCAAACTTCGTCATACCCGCCTCGAAAGACGTGAACACGCCGTCGAATAAGCTCCAGTCAGATAGCACAGCCTGGAGGCGCGCAAAGTCTTCCCTTGCGATATTGCTCATTGCGTAAACCTTGAGCCGCCCATTCATCTCTGCTTTGAGCTTTTTGAGCCTCTCGATGAGGTTGTTATCGACGCATAAAGTTCTGCGACATTGCGTAAGTGCTTCGCTTATCATTCCAGGATCAATTGAGAGTTGCTCTCCTATAATCTTCAGAGCTTCTGCCTCTTCGAGATGGTCGCGCTCCAACTCCGCCCATGTTGGAGAGAGGATAACAGAGTGGAAAATTTGCGGGGAAAGGACGGTAAGATCGCGAGAAGACCAGTGGAATAGGACGTCGCCGAGATCAAGGATTAGCGTCCGCTGCTGTTGTGACTCCATTGGGACCATCGTGGTGTAGTCGGTTGTTGCTTGTAGTATGGAACGAAGAGGTGAGTGTTTTCGTCTTCAGCTTGAAGGCAGAGGATACTGGTAGTACGTTTCCCCCCTGATCGTGAAAAGAAGATTATGTTATTGCCTCACCAAAGTCAGGTGATATGCAGGGCGTAACCATGATTGGAGACAAGACCAAGATCCTATTTTTACATCACTGGAGGTTACGTTCTATCGCAACACTTGCTCGCTGACTGCAGATGCAGAACAAAAACGAATATCTATCAGCCAATCGGCCCCCGGATATGTGACCTGATTAATACTTTTGATCGCTCTGCTTCTAGGGGAAGCCACTGTCGATCCAGTGGATCATTAAGAGAGCCAGTGCAGTAGCATTTGGGCGAAAGTGGCTGGGTAAACATTCCCGGGATAGACGACGCTGAAACCAGAACCACTCTGGAACCTTACATGGGTGTTGTTGTGCTGGATATGAGAATCCGAAGTGTCTATCTCTAAGGAGCGTCATCTCCCTACGATAATGAGTTTCTTCTTACATGAATTCGATCGACTCGTCTCTGATGGGTACATCTTGCTTTTCTCTGGACTCTTGCAGCCAGATATGGTCCCTGCGTAATACTCGCAGATGGCATGCACATGTACAATGAAACGTGGCCTATTTCGTCACTTGAGTTACGGTAATCTGCAAAGTACCATACAGTGAGTAACTGCTGGAAGTGAGCTCCCTATATAGCTGTATAGGTGCTTCATCGCGAGCTCAGATCGAGACAACGTGCTGGCGATGGTCAACGCGCTAGGGTGAAGTGCTCGTATGTCGCCTGGCGTCTGATGTTTGTGTACTAGAAAATGTATACAGCCGTGGGAAGGACAACCTGCAAATGCAGTATCAAGACTTCGATGATTCTCATTCATGATAGTATTGTTCTGGAATCGTAAGCTCAGCGATCGTCTCGGATCTTCACGATAGCAGTGGTGTACACGGTGTAGGATCAAGATGCACACTGATGTGAAAACAGGGAGAAGAAGAACTTCCGCGAAGCATTCTGACGTCATGGAGCTGGGATAGTGATGGAGTTCGCCCTTGGGTGGTGCCGGAACTTGAGCATGTGTGTGAAGGGCGATAAGCCTCATTCGGCAGATATGCCGCACACCACCGCCCCATCATCCGCATGAGTAGAATGAATGCCCACAACCATGCCTGCTAGCTGTCATGGAGCTTTTTCGGCTACACCATAAATGTTGACAGCAAGTCTGGTGTTTACGTAGGTACAAAAACAATAACGGTTTCACATCTCTTGGTTGCCACTCCCAGCCACCTCTATGACGATGAACACTACGTCATCAACAACACGTATGATTTTGCCTAAGGTTTGTGGCATTGATGAAGATGCTACTTCACATGAATTGCCAAAGAAAATATGATCAAAAACAAACGCGCGTCACCCAAGATATGTTGTACGGTGTCACATTTTCGAATCCCGTCGGCACCGTACCTCTTGGCCCTGAGGGTAATGCCTATGGTAAGAGAATATTCTCAAAGCAGTGGTTCATGTGCCAGTACGAAAGATCATGGGGCATATATGATGACCTAATTCCGTTAAGCCGAGGATATTCTTTCTGACAGAGCAGTCTCTTACCTGTCTCTTTGGCTACCCAGTACCTTCGCATCGAATGTACGCAATGCGAGATGTGAAAGTACTTGTCAATCAGCATGTCATTCTCCTCCGGCCGTGAAAGGTAGTCTGCATCTAAATATAGTCCTCTTGCTTTGACAGCATCAACCTCAGGATATCTCTCGCTGAGCCAAGCCTGATATTCCGCCTCTTCTGGAGTGAGCAATTCCTTTGGATAGATAGACCCATCATCGATTCTCAAGAACCACTTGGAATCCAGCACATCATCCTCATTGGAAGCCCACTGGCTTACATTTTGCGGCTTCAGTTGCAGCTGATATTGCGGTCCGTTGCTGCCGACGACCTCATCGAAGCGACGCCACGGGTGCCTCTGCCCTGGGAGAAAGAGCGCGCTAAGGGAGAGAAGTATGATGACGAACAAAGCGAGAGATAGATATCTGATCAATCGACTTCCGACGGGCTGCAATACCATCGTGTCTGGCTCCCCGTCGATGGAGGTGTCGTAAGAGCTGCGCATGGGTATCGGGAAATATGGTCTCCAAGTTACAGATGTGTCGACTGACCCAGGCTTCTCTAGGGAACAATATTCTTTCTCAGTTGGCGAAAGCAGAACCGAACTTTCCGCATGGAATTTCGATGCAGTCATGGCGAACGTAATGCCGGATGCTGCACTGAACAGGAAAGCGACACCTTCGGACTTTGAACGCGAATAGACGACCTCTGCAACTTGAGAAATCGCTTCTTTCAGAGACCACTCTGATTCCTCTGTCGCTAGTGCGGCACAGACAAGGAACAAGGATGCTCTCATTTCTCGAACAACAACACATGAAGCAGAATTGCGACTTGTGCAGTATTCGACAAGCCTTTCTAGAGTGCAGCTGGTGTTGGGGTGCATGTCGTCAAGGCAGCAGACGACATCCACGCATGCAGTATTTACTGAGGCGATCATGTCAAGTGCTGCTGAAGGTAGAATGAGACGTGATACGTAACGAAAAAGAAGGTGAAGAGGCTATGAAGTTGAAAACAAGATGATCTGGGGATGCTTGAGACTATGTCGCAGTGTTTCCATCAGCCGACTTCCACCAAACGAACACTGGGCTTCGAAAGTCAGCAATTACTTCCGCTATCTCACTGCATTTCCACGCATCAATCTATACGACCTTTGATTTGCGGTTCTGGCATGTCTCCCGTCACCTGAGAACTTGCACTAGATCATCGCAGATCGTGCAAGTTCGCGCTTTACAGCAGTCGAGTATCGCAAGGGACTAGCGCTTGCGCCACAAGACTGCAGGTGCAAGGATGACCTCCGGGCGTAAGCAACACTCAGGATCACCCACTAGGCACTATCTTCTCTCGTAGTGACATTTATCTCCGTCCTTGTTTCTGTAACTCTGGACCCTCTTCATATCACCCCAACGTTCCGTCACACATCATGACTGCAGAAGCCGATCAGCCCGCGCTTACAGCTACTGGTAGTACCTCATTCTACACGCATTCAACAGCTTTGTCCACCCATGGTGCAAGCAGCTTATGCATCACTTCTCTAACATATCCCCACCTGCATCTTCGACTTCCTAGCGCGGAGGATGCTGCTGCACTTCTACGCCTCTTCACTGACTATCGTAATATCCAGTACGACAAGTCATGTACCGGGCTGGATAGTGCTGAAGCTATAGATCATCTGATCAAGCAATGGCAGGTCGTCAATTTACCATTGCAGCGAGCCAACATTGTCGTCGTGATTGACGGAAAGACTGTCGGCACCGGCGGCTTGGGTTGGATTGGCAGGAGGAAGAGTGATGGAAAGCTGATAGGCGATGCGGGGTTGATGTTGGAGACGGACTTTCGTAATTCAGGCTATGGATACGAGTCGTTATGCATGGTCATTGACCATGGCTTTTGCGTTCTGGGCATGGACGAAGTGCACATAGCTTGTGTAGACGCTAATGCTGCGTTCAAGGGTCTGATGAACAAAAAGTTAGGGTTTCAAGCTGAAAGGATAGAAGACAAGATGTTCGGAAATGAATGGATCTGGCGCATAACGAAAGAGGTATGGGCAGAGAGTCCGCACTCTGCTCAAGGTCGAGCTTGACTTTGGGTGGACTAACAAGGATCATTGTAGGAGTTCACTGGTGGGAGTTACATCAGTTCACGCATATAACCACGTCTCATGTAAATTTCAGAAGCACTCCTCAATGTTGTTAACAAGATTCAGTAGATTAGCTTGTTAGGAAAAGAAAAGAATGAATGACCAGGCAAATTCTTGTGTAGTTCATGATGATCGTGCAGTAGAATTCAATTAAGGACAACGAAATAGCGTATCAGTAGATATATGTTGGTAGCTTTGTTGGGTGCGCATTATAGTTTTCAAGAACCCGTGCGTTGAAGCCCAACAGCGTAGAACCATCAAACGTGAAAGTAATGCTTTATTTTTCGATCTGCATGATTGACAACCGCACGTGTGTATCCCATATCGGTGCGCCGTTGGGGAGAGCACGTCGCAAGTAAGCGTGAAACGCACAACGTGCACATAAAGTCTCACGTTCCCCGCATCCTCCTGGCAGGCGTCCTTTTCGTACTTCACCCCATCACAACACCATGATTTCAACATCGCTGATAAAAAACAATATTTCCAAGGCTGCGAGCAAGGCGGACGCTGTTCTCCAGAGCAATGCTGGTGTAATACTGATGCTTTCAGCCCAAATATGCTCCACGATCCTAGCAACATTGGGACGCGTCCTACGAACGGATGGCAGCAGCGGCTCGGACACCAAATCGATTGGCACTTCCGAAGTATGGCAACTCGATATTAGTCACCAGCTTTTTGTATTGATGGCTTCCAGATACTCATCGCAATGATGCTAATAATCACCATTCTTTCCTGGACATACGTGTTTGTCTCTCCGGCGGTAACCCCTGGTGGGGTTTTCGGTCCCACCAAATTGCGCCCACTTCTCATCGTACGAGGCATCGCCGGCTTCTTCGGAATTTGGGGCTTCTACGTCTCTCTGCGCTATCTCGCGTTAGCTGAGGCGACTCTGATCAACTTCCTTGCGCCGGTTTTAGCCGCTCTTCTACTCGGCTTGTTACCAGGCCAGCAGCGCTGTTCCGTCGCTCAAATGCTCGCAGCTTTAGTTGCGGTTCTGGGTTTGCTCTGCGTACTGCAGCCTTGGAACGCTCATATGACGAACACGCCCAAGGACCATGTGCTGGCTGTTGGTGCCGCCCTAGTTGGTGTTGTCGGTGGCGCAGTCTCCTTCTTGACGATGTCTTGCCTAGGGGGGCACGTACACCCGATCACAACCGTTGCATACTTCGCACCTATTTGCACCGTACTCAGCGGCGCATCGCTCATCATACAGCAACAGAGCTTGAGCTTCCCAGCGACCGCTGTACAATGGCTGCTCGTCTGCATCTTGGGTATTTTGGGATTCGCCATGCATTGGCTCATGGCAGCCAGCTTGATGACTGGCGATTCAAAGAGAGCGCTTCACATCGTTTACGTGCAGGTAGTGTTCGCCATGGTAGCCGACAAGATTGTGTGGAGATTGGACCCGGGATGGTGGAAGTACGCCGGAGCGCTTTTGATTGTGGGCAGTGCAATATTTGTGGCAGCGACGAAGGAAGACCGAGGATATACGCTTGTTGGAGAAATAGCTGTAGAAGAGAAGATCGAGAACGAAGATGCCGGCCCCTAGTGTGGGATCGATTAGAGCTGCGGACATTAGTCTAGACGAGCTAACGCTTTGAGAATTAGCCACTATCGTCATCGAGCGGCCGTGTGTGACCAACCTCCCTAATTTCTCCTCTAACCCAGCTAAACCAGTTTGCCTGTTACGAACACCCCCAGCAAGCTGGTGTCTCCTATATCTGACCGTTGACATCGCCTCACATCACCATATTCATGTCGCACACTAAATTCGAAAGTTTACTGAATCTGGCTCTTCATTTATCTCCTATACAAGCCCATGCATCATCGTAAGATGAAGATTATTCATAGCTCCCTGTCGTCTTTCAGAGGACTCGTCATGTCTGTTCATTATGGTGTGTCGTACTTTGTTGTCTCAGGTTCCGTACTCGACAAAGTATCCCCGATGCATTCGTTTTCCTTTGCAAACCTCTGTCGGCTTATCCCACTGTGGGTCGCGCTTGAAGTCGGTCGAATAGGGGGACGGATCAGCGCATACAAGACGTCCCGCATTTCCCTTGCCGTCGTTGTAGTAGCTGCATTCCTGGCGGCCATCATATCTGACTTTAACCGTGATCTGGCGGTGTGGTTAGTCTTGACTCTTACTGAGACGTGGACCGCAGGTACGGTCAGGACATTACATGATCGCTGAGACAATAGTGGGAAACGTTGCGCTTACTTTAGTTGGAAAAGGCGGACTGTCTATGTTGGCGGTGCCAGGATGAGGCCATAACTTAACCAGCTCGAATTGCTCGTCAAGGCCGCACATGTCGACTCCAATGCCCAGAGGGCCCTGGAAGAGCCACCAGAAGTGGTTGCCGAGCATTTCGCCGAACACGAGTTGAAGCGAACTATCATTCTTGTTTGTATTAGTAGAAGCTTGGGAGCCTTTGGGAGATAAAGAGATGTCGTACCGCGCGTTCAGTGAGATCGGAAGGCGTAGGCTGGGAAATAGGTGAGGCTGCGATAACAGCCAACAACCCGAAGACCCAGACAAGGATGGTGGAAAGATGAATCATGTTGATTGTCTATTGCTTGCAGTCCGGTATACTTGGCAAGCCGGAAGGTGGTGGGGTAGAAGGAGAGCAGAGATCTGTTCGGGGTAGACCTGCTTATATAGAAAGAGAGCGGGGTGCCTGGACCTATGAGCGGGGACTCTCACCAGTGAAAGGCAGTCAAATTACAGTGGTGATGTGGAGGCTGCCTGGAGAACACATCGAAATGGACAAGACTGTTTCACTTACCATTCTGGCGATTCACATGCGTAACGACATCAATCTGGAGGACTTGTCGCCTATGAGTTTATTATGGGGGGTGGTTGAGCAAGGTAAATGCGCGTAAGATATACCAGTAAGAATTAGGTAATTTGGTCATGGGCACGCACCTTCGGAGCTAGGTTGTCCTCGATCCAGCTTCAGAGATCAGCCGCTCTTAGTACCTACAAGAGTACATACGATGATAAGACCGACCGTTGCAATTGATAACCCCCTTGTAGTATTCCGGATCTTGCTCACAGGGCATGATCATCCAATCGCCACAAATCAGTTCCCCGACATCGCCGTTACCGTGCGTCCTCCATACGCAATCGTCATGGTCCATCCACTTGAGGAGCTTGAGGTCCATCTAAAGACTCGTGGTTAGCAACTCCGTATAACCACCACCTAGCAGAATCCAGTGCGATGGGTATGAGAACTTACAGCAGGAGCACTCGGGGGATTGTCGATGGCGTCTCGCCCGTAATGGTAGGGGCCATTCATGGAGGCAAATTTGAACGGATCACGATAGGTACAGGGCTGAACAGCTTGGCCAGATGGGCCTTGGAACATTTCCCAGTAGTACTCGGTACCCGATGCTCGGTTAAGGAGGACCTGGATGGAGGCATCGTAGAAGTCCTTTGGACTGGATCAGCGGGTAAGTTTTTCTAGATGTTTGGGATGCTGACCGAGGAAATTTTGGTATCATTGCCCGGTACCTGTGTGGCGGGGTCCTCGGTAGGGTAAGCGGAAGCCGTGCCCAGTAAGAAAGCGACTATGCCGATGAATAATGAGAACAGCATTTTCGTATTTGCTGGTGCAGTCTCCAGTCCAGTATGTGTTGCTTGTTTCTACGAGTAGTGTGAGAAAGAAAGCATGATATCACAGAGCCAGTTCTTATAGTGAAGACCTTATAAGCTGGGCAAAACTGAGGGGCTGACACGTAGACGGCAGACTGCTCGGGTGTCAAACGACGCAGGTCGGATCAAAGCGAACAAACACCGCCCTCCTAGTGAGGCCTTGCCAGAAGTAGACAGATGACCATGATACGGATCGTGAATTTACCCATCGTGTAGGTTGGTAATCATCTATTTACTAAGAAGAACTCTAGTACTTCAGTAGTTCTACCCGTTACGGTGACGATCCATCTAACTTCACCATCTTCAGTACGCTCTTTGGGCGAGGAAACGATTCGTTTGCTGAGTTCAATTCCATGGCCCGACCATATCAGTCTACCAATTACAAGCCCAGTCTCGATGGACCGAGAAGCCATGGCAATTGATAGCACCGTCGTTCCAGCTCGCGTCTCGCTCGCAATCCATAATCATCCAATCGCCACAGATGAGTTGACCGGGGTCACCGCCGCCGTCGGTTTTCCACTTGCACTCGTTCTTGCTATTGTCCACAAAGGAAAGCTCCATCTGCAAAACCGTCAGTCACCCATCCCTTTTATATCTCTAGGAACCATTTCTTGTGTATATCGAACGAGTTTTACCTACCGCAGGTGGGTTCGGGGGATGATCGATATCATTTCGTCCGTAACCGAAGACACCGGACATGGCCGCGAGACGGAACGGTTTGTGGTTTGTCCCGCAAGGGTTTGCTTTCTTGCCGTACGGACCTACAAACAACTCCCAATAGTAGTCCCTGTATGATTCCCGATCAAGCATGATCTGGATGGAGTTGGTATATCCCTCCGCTTGCTGTGATTGGTTAGCAAAACTGAGCGACTGGACAAACGCTGGAAACTTACAAGGCCGTGTGTGGTGCGGTTATTCTGCAACTCCATGCTCAAGTTCTGGATAGGTGTTGCGAGACTGGAGACAAGCAAGAGGCCTGCGGACACATATATAAGGAAAGTGAACCACGCGAACATGGTGAGTGGTTTGCAAGTTTGCTCGTTCGAGTGGTGGCAGTGCTACTCGGTGGTAAGGTAGAAGTAAACGAAAAGTCTACGCTGAGGAGCTTTTATTCTTTGTGGTACTAGGCGAAGCTGACTTATCCATCTGGCGGGAAAAGATCGGAAAATTTAGGACGTGCGTAGAACAAAACGAGGTCACGGATCTGCACGTATTCAAGCACATGAGAACGAGGGTGAAAGAGAATGCAACTGTGACATTTTCATTCATGCTACACAGAACAGTGTATCGTCTCCATAGCTAAAGGCGGATTAAGATTCCTAATCATAGCCTGAGAAAAGCCTGGTTCCCCATCGCCGTCACTCCGCGGGTAAGCGCTTGCCCATGTTCAGAATTCACAAACCCAAGCGGCAGCATAGCGGGGACGTGGGTTTCCGCAAGTAATCTGCTGCCCGTACCTAAAATCCTTTTTGCAGTCGACTATGTACTCGTCGCCGCAATGGAATTGACCAGGGTCTACACCAGTAGCGTGATAGACGCAGTTGTTACGGTTGCCGTACTTGATCTTGACGTCGAACTGAAAGAGATTTAGCAGACGCGACGCATATAGCGTGTGGCAGATATCAACTCACCTCCGGGACGAAAGGTTCATAGTTCTGGGGAAAGGGAGGCTGAACCATGTCTAGCTTGTCGGTATGCCATCCGGGCTCGCCATGATAGACCTTCTCGAAGCGCGTATCACCGCAAGGGTACACAGCAATGCCGCTAGGTCCTTGGAAGATATCCCAAACATAGTAAAAGGGCTTGACCTCCGAAATTTGGATCTGTAGAGAGTAGGGGTAAGGGCCCTGGCCTCGCAGTACGCCCTTTAGTGCGTCAGTATGAAGCTTCGTTTCAATAGTGATGCGACTTACTGGAGTGACGTCGCTTGCGGTCTCTTCAACGGGTGCGGCAAGAGCGAAGCCGAGGCAGGCGATAATGCCTACAAGGAAGGTGATCCAAGAAGTCATCGTTATCGAGAATCTTTGGATGCTTTGGTCGTATGATGTGAGTAAGTATTCTGTGAGTTGATAGACTGTGTTCGACTGGTGTAGGAGACAGAAAATATCACTGGATCGTGGTAACGGGCGTGAGCAGGCAGTCACGGCGGCCAAAGAAGGCTAGTGTCCAGTGGAGCAAACAGAAATTACCATAGTGAGAGATTCGAATTTTAGGAGATAGTCAGTGCGCAAGACTGGTGAGAGATCTACATCTATCTCACGCCCTTCGCCATCGCCTTATGGGCACTGGGCATAACCGCTTAGAACTCGCAATTATACCCTCGATGGAACTTCGGCAGCTGATCATCATCACACTTGATAGTAGCCTCATCGTATCTAGGGTCCTTCGCGCAATCAATGATGTAGTGGTCTCCACATCGGAATTGCCCAGCATCGATACCCGTGCCTATGTACTTGCAGTCATCGTAATTAGAGTATTCGATCTTGGTGTATACCTGTTCAAGAACTGGATTAGCATGCAAACGCAGCAAAAAGGCCCAACCTCAAGCTCAATGGGTGGTCAAATTACCTTGCGATCGGGAAACGGGGGATGGTTGATAGCATCATCCTCATCCTGGAACATCACACCATAGAAGACGCGCTTGAATTCCGCAGGCATCTGGCCGTCATGATCCTCACAGGGATCGACAGCGATACCTTGAGGGCCTTGGTAGATGAACCAGCGGTATTGGTGGACCCCAACGACGCTAAGAAGGAGTTGGAGGGAGTATGGGTATTGCAGTGCCTGATGAACCTCGTTGTTAGCAAGAACGTTTTACGATACTACAATCTAGGTGGGTTTGCTTGCATTTGTGGTGCCGCGCCTGACTATGGAGGTGTCGTTGCTGGCAAACACCTCGACGGGAACCGCTGAAACACAGCTCAGGTAGGCAAGTAGCCAAAGAAGCGAAGCCATCAGCGTTGTCATGATGGTCGGCATGTGGGCGAAGTAGGAGTGTGTGTTTGAGGTCGCAGGATGAAGGAGATGTTGTAACTCAAATTTGGGGACAATGGAGCGGCAGAAGGTCAGGTGTTATGGAGTAAGAGCGGTAGTCAGTTATGGGAAGTGGTCAGTGTGATTCAAAAACGAGGTCTGCACAGGGCAAGAACACTGTGACACAAGACCATACACGTGCCTCTATCCTTTAACCGTGCTTGCAACATGACTCGTCGACATGAATAAGTGAATTTGCGTACTCCATGCGCAAACGCGGAAACCCCACTGCCAAGGCTTTTGACTGTCGATGCCAGTCAACTGTACCTCCCCCAAAATTTTGTGCTTGGTACTAGCAAACAGATCCTCGATGATACTCCTCGTCCTCACCACAATGATAAACCGAGTAGTCGGAGGCCATGTACTACAAGTCCTTGCGATATCGCCCTCAAATATTGACAAAACGAAGAGACTTGGTATCATCACACGTACAGAAATGGGGTATAATGATTAAACATAGAGATACCCTCCCTTGACAGGGCAGGAGACATAGCGTGCAACTCTTTCATTCATTCGTAACAGACCGTAAAGCATAATCTAATCGAAACAAACTGTGCCCAGCCCTCTGTCTTTCACCGCCTTGATAACGCTTCCTTTAATCCGCACAAGGGCGCCTTCCCATTGCTCCTTCGGGAAGCTTCCCTTTTGTGCTTCGTCACTGATGACATAGTCAATCCATTTCACCATACCGACTGCCTTGGTCATGTTCTTCTCTTCTAGGACTACTTTGTTGAGATATTTGATCAATGCAACAACGTCCTCGTTATAAGGCCCTTCATCCATGAAAGCACCAATCCATTGCCTCATGGCACCTCTCAAATCTGCCTGCGCTGAGAGTTTCTGAGTGGTAAACGTCGGTTTTGCAGGTCGAGAGACTTTGATCTTAGGTTCTTCGTTACGTGCTTGTGGTAGGGGTGCAGATTTGGTCTTTCTGGTTAAGGCGAGACAAAAGGAACTCATCTTGTCAGCTTTGTGTTGCGCGAGAACTTCTTTGCGAACATCTTCGGGTAGCTCAGCGAGGAAGTCTAGGTCAAGGTCATCTCTTTCAGACGGCTGGGTAATATCGCTTGTTTCGAAAGCATCTTCGCTTGGACCTGCGGAGTTCTCCCTGCTCACACTCTCTCGTGCCGGGTTCTTGAGTGAGATAAAATTGGCTTGAGTGAGTGTCTTGCCAGTCATGCTAATGGACTTTGCTTGTGCAGCAGCGGCGAGCATTGCGGATCTTGGCGGACGACCTCTACCACGTTTGACTGGCACAATGGGTTTCTTAGCTGGGATACCTATGATCCTATTCTTGCGTGGCGATTGAGGTAGTAACGTTTGGTCCACGCCCTTTGGACGGCGAGATGGAGAGAAGGGCGTGTTGTTGGCATCATACTGCGCAAGTACCTCGGCACGAACTTCTGCTGGCAGAGCAGCGAGGATATCAGGGTCCAGTTGAGACTGGTTGGGAAGTGCTGTTGTGGCGAAAGCCATGGCTTTCGTAGGTGTGTTGGGGTTACCTCTTTTTTCTACAACTTTTGCGGGGGTGGGTGATGATTGGCGCGTTTGGCGGAGGAGTTTTGATCGTATATCTTCTGGTAGCTCGGCAAGTACATCAGGATCCACCTGCGTAGGCATGATGAACTGTGTGCCTAACATGTTTAGCGGACGGCGAGAAGGTGTTGATGCATTGAGTGTCGGAGCGCCAAATGGAACATGTTCGCTTCCTGACGATGCTTTTGCCTTTCGTGGGGTCTCTGGATCGTCTTGAATGGGGTCCTCTACGATCGCTTTTGCAATCGGGTTTTCAACAGGTTTTGGAGCTCGCGCGGCACGGACAGGTCCGCCTTGGCCGACTTTGAACTGTAATCTTCGCTGAGAGCCTTCAAGACTGCCATCTGTAGCATTCTTCATAGGCTCAAGCTTCGTCAACTGCATACCGAACCCTCGAAGCTCACCCGGGGTAAAGCCCAAGCCGCGCAGCATAGCTAATGCCTCTTTCGTGAGAATTTCCTTGGCATTAGTGGCGACACCCAACATCACACTCCTGCTATGTGTGTCGCATTTGCCGTGGCCGAGATGCTTGGGAGGGTCGAGAGGAGCATCGGGTGAGCGTCGCATAACCTTCATTGAGAAATGCCTGCCTTTTACTCTCTGACTCAACAATCGTTTCGACAGCTCTCCACATAAGCTTGCGATGAAATCATTAGCTTGTTGTTGATTCTCGAACCGAACGCCCCAGTTCACTTCAGCAGAGATAGACTTGCGAATATCTTGCTCACCCAGCTCTTGGCGGTCAATGCCTCTTGAGTACTCGTATAACTTTTCTCCAGTCTTGGGTCCTAAAATCTGAACGAGTCTTTCTTTTGTGAGCTCGCGAATATCCTTGACAAGTTTCACTCCTTGGTCTTCAAGCTTGCCGCCGATCGACCAAGCAACACCAGGAAGATCTTGTACCTGGAGCTGGCCCATGAAGTCTAAAACCTCTTCGGGTTTGATCTGGTACTGCCCAGCGGGCTTTGCTCTGCGTAACGCTACTTTAGCGAGCAAGACATTACTACCGATACCGACGGAGACATTACAACCAGTCTTTAACCTGACCTCATCCCGTAGATTCAATGCAATTTCCTCGGCCTTTGCTTGCTCGCGATGAATGCTGCCTTCAGAATGTTGCTTCCCATTGCTACCACCCGCAGCGATGCAAAGGTTCGAGACATCGACGAGCGCTTCGTCGATACTTACACTCTGCACCAATCCACCTGTAGCAATGATGGCCTCGTAGAACGTACGACTAGTGGCTTCGTATTCAGGAAAGTCATATGGCAAGATCTTGAGTTCCGGACAGAGCTCCTGAGCTCGCCTCATCCACATGCCATTCTTGACACCGTACGTACGCGCTGGGTAGTTGCAACTTGCAATTTCAGAGCCACTACCTTGGCCGTGTGCAACCGCTGCGGGTTTGTCTTTGTATTCTGGGCATTTCTTCAAGCTGACAGCGGCGAAGAAACTGTCGAAATCCACGTGTAGGATGTAGCGCCGGGCGCCTGATGTGCATTTTTGTTTGGCTTTCTGGGAAGAGCTCTTCTCGTCTGCTATTGCCTGCATTTCTGCTTTCAGGTCGGCTTTCCAAGTGGATAGGTGATGAAGGCGTGATTCGCGATAGTATTGCTCTAGAAAGTTAGGATCTACGACGGTAGATTTGCGAACGTCCGGGTCTCGTAAAAGTATGGCATTATGCTCTTCTGCAGTAAGCTCCCGTCCCTTAGGCTTTAGGGCGTTTGGCGCGCGCGACGTCTTTCTCGATTTGGCTTCGATCTCATTCTCGTACTCGATCTGTTGAGGTAGAGGTGGGCTCGGGTCGGTATAGAGGCTGTCGTGGACATCGTCGATAATCTCATCTACATCCGCCGGGACCACCGCAGGGCTAGTCTTGGGTGGTGTGACGAGCTTCGCAGCCCTACTCGGCTTTCCAGATATGGGTCGGTCAAGCACGTTGTCCGGCTGGTGAGAGGGCGACAGATCCTTGATGTCATCCTCTGATGTGGGAAGTCGCTGCTCTTCATTCGAGGAGTGCGAGCGTGTGCCGATGGCTGGTGTTGGCGTACTAGAAGGACCGGCCTGACTACCCCTCAACTGACTTGTGTACCAACTGGCATCTGTCTGATCCCGATAACCCCTCGTCTTGACGTTTGCCGTGCTGGTCATTCCATCCTTACCAAAAGCCAGGACGTTCTGCTTCTCGCCTTCGTCTACCACTCGGTATTCGCTCCATGGCAGCAACTTGCCCGCTTGTATGCTGTCGACGACCCACGCGGGCTTTACGATTCGGTATCGCCGGAATTCAACAACCTTCTTCGGCGTTAGACTACTGGCGATGATGTGCGTCACCGTAGTCTTCCCGTCCAGGTATTGCATGAAGCCGCCGCCATGCTGTACTATAAGGGTATGCAGATCGTTGAGCGATGGTTGGGTGTAGCCGTTGACATGTGCCACGACCCCTTTGAATATCTGGGGCTTGTCACCGGCCTGGCGTCGGATATCGGCATCGAGGTTTTGGAGTTTGATCTTCTTTCGCCTAAAGTAGTCGTTAAAGCCGCCAAAGGCCGAACCCTTGTACTCTTCCCCATCCTCGCCGTCAAACTTGTGGCTGGCGATGCGCTTCCGGACCGACTCGGAGTTCTTCTCTAGGCGTGAGCCCATGGTGTCAGTCGTATGGTGGGTCAAGAGCGTTCATCGGGGCCGGGGTCATGATTGAGCGTCGCGAGGGTGTGTCGGCTGCGACATGTCGATATTGGTGTTGGTGATGAGAGGCGCGTCGTTGAAAGCGCGATAACGTCACGCTAGCAAGGCTAAGTGGATCGTTCTGCCGGCGGTGAAAGCACGCTAAGAGAAAGCTGCAGGACTTGGCGAACTTTTTCTACCTCTCCAAGTCGCTGCTCTCAAGTTTCTCGCTTTTCACTACTATCCTGCTCTACCAGCTGACCCCGAGCTGTGCAATTACCTGAGCAAAGAACACTTCAGACGACTTTCTCCTCCCACCAATTTCGTCAGCTTCTCCGATTACGAACATACGACCGCTTTCAACATGTCGTCCATTCCTGTAGGCGTCTACGGACGTCGCATTCCGGCTGGAGGCATTCCCATCCTGGCTGCTGTCGACCAGTCTGTCACTGTGAGTATTCTCGATGCCTCGTGTGGCTTGCTTGCCCATGCGAAAGTTTTGCGCCGAAATTTCCAAAGAAAATTCTGTCGCATTCGCAAATCGATAAAAGCGTTCTAACCATGACCAGTTCCGCATTACTATGGCCGCTATCGACCCAGATGCTGAGCCCCAAATCGATGATGAGCACAAGCACCCTCGCGCAACCCTTAAGCTCATCCGCGTGCCCTCAGACTATGACAGCGAGGATGATGATGATGAGGACTACGAGGAGGGCGACATCGAGGCCATCGCTGCTCGTCTGCGCGCTGCTGGTGCGCTTCCTGAGGCCGACTCGGATATGTCCGACTCCGAGGACAGCGAGAACGAGAAGAACGGTGGCCCCAGCGACCCTGCCCGGTCAAAGAAGGCCAAGCAGGCAGCCCTCACCAAGAAGCTGCAAGAAGAGCTCGAGGCCGACGAGATGGACATTGACGGCATGACCAACGGCAAGGGAAAGGCCAAGGGCAAGGCCAAGGTCACCGACGACGACGATTTGAGCGACGAGGATGACGAGGATGATGAGGATGATGAGGACGAGCCTGAGGAGCTTGTCCTGTGCACTCTCGACCCCGAAAAGGTATGCTTGAGCATCATGTTTTAAGCAATATTGACTAACACTTGCGCAGCACTACCAACAACCTCTCGACATCACCGTCCGCCAAGGCGAGGAAGTCTACCTTGCTGTCAGCGGTACTCACGATGTTTACGTTACTGGTAACTACCTCGTATTCCCCGAGGAGGATGACGATGAGGATGACGAGGACGATGGTCTTGAGGGCCTCGGTTACGACATGGGTTCTGACGAGGATGAGCTCGACGAGATGGACGAGTCTGAGGACGACGAGCTCGACGGTATGAACGACCCCAGGATCACTGAGGTTGAGTCTGACGAGGAGGAAGCTCCCAAGCTCGTTGATGCCGGCAAGAAGAACAAGAAGCGCGCTGCCGAGGAGGATGCCACTCTTGATGACATGATCAGCAAGACGAATGGTGACGCCAAGCTTAGCAAGAAGGAAGCTAAGAAGCTGAAGAAGAACGACGGCCAGGCTGTTGCCAAGGCTGCAGAGCCCGAGAAGAAGGCTGAGAAGGTTGATACCCCCAGCAGCGACAAGAAGAAGGTTCAGTTCGCTAAGAACCTTGAGCAGGGCCCAACTGGCTCCCCCAAGGTCGATGCCAAGCCAGAGGCAAAGAAGGAGGCCGCTAAGGGACCTCGCAACGTCAGCGGTGTCATCGTTGACGACAAGAAGGAGGGTAAGGGCAAGGCCGCCAAGAAGGGTGACCGTGTCGAGATGCGCTACATCGGCAAGCTCAAGAACGGAAAGGTGTTTGATTGTGAGTTTCCCCAACTAATCGTGTCTTGACTCAAACTAACAATCAAATAGCCAACAAGAAGGGCAAGCCATTCTCTTTCAAGCTCGGTGTCGGTCAAGTCATCAAGGGATGGGACGTCGGTGTCGCTGGCATGACTGCTGGCGGTGAGCGTCGTCTCACTATCCCCGCCGCGATGGCTTACGGCAAGAAGGGTGCTCCCCCGGACATTCCCCCCAACTCTGACTTGATCTTTGACATCAAGTGCATTTCCGTCGGTTAAATGTCGCTGTCAGTACTTTGCCTACGCGCAATAGGGTCCACTCAGCCCCCACCAGGATCCGACTCCACTCCTGTGCAGGACTCCACTGGCCTGCGTGCGTTCGCGCCTCTTCCCGTTTCCTTTTCCGTCTCTGTATCAACTGCATAGCGCGTCGTCTGAGATATCCGACTTGCATAATCTGGGCTGTTTCATTAGATGCGTGCAAGGAGGAAGGATCTCTCAGTCCTCTTCGCCAATGTCTTTTCCTATAGCGGGTCATCTGTAAATGATATAGCGAGGCGATGTTGCCAAAGAGCAAAATTTCGCTGAGGAAGCTACTTTGAAAAGTTCTACGGTGTTCCGGTTGACATCTCGAATATGTAGTAATACATAATCTGCAAGTAACATGTCTGGTGTCTAGATATGCTTCGTATGCCCCCAATTGAAGTGATCGGTCAAGCCGTTAAGAAAGGCTTTCAATTCACATACCTACAGAAACAGTGGCTATGACTTCACGCGCAGCCGAGGTGTCCGAAATTGCGAAGATTCTAGTGCTAGCGGCCCACCACTCACATCGCCATCTGCGTGCACGAGCCCAAAGACCCCACAACGCTTTAACCCAACTCCTCTTTCATCGTCGCCCAACTTCAACGTCAACCTGCACTCGAGCCCTCTGTTACACCAACGACAAACAACACCGTGATCACCTCAACCAACAACCTTGCTTACGCATCATCGTCCTTCGACTATCATCAAACCTACACCGACTACTAAATCAACCGTGGCAATACTGTAGCAATGGCGTCGAAACGAAGCAGTAGTAGTATGAGTAGTAATAGTAGCATTCATTCGTACTCGTCCGCGAGCAATGTCCGCGCTAGCTGCTACTCGGTGAACGCCGCTACCGCCAGCCTCCAGGGCTTCCATTACTCCACTACCCCGTCTTCCGGGGCTGGGTGGTGTTCCTGAGGTCAGCTCGGTATGTCGTCGCCTACTCTCCGAACAATACCGTCTTCTCTGTAGCGGAGATGGATAGTATATGCTTGCGGTTCTGTGGAGAACGTATACTAACTTTCGCAGGGAATTCCATCACCCCCTTCAAGTCCCCCCCTCGCCGCCAAACACGCGTCCGCCACTCGAGGTGGAAAGGCGCGCAGAGGGGGGGCAGCATACACCATCACGGGAGAGTGTGAGAGACTCTTCTGCGAGACACTGCGATCTGTATTCCTGGGTGAGGGGAGCCAGCATCGCCAGAACTCGCTAGTGATGGGTATGCCATCTGACAACGCTACGACTGCAACCACCGCTATTACCAATGACTACGGTATCGATGCACGTCGCTACTCCGACTCTTCGACTGAATCTGATGTGCCTGAAATGGTGCGATTCGAGGAAGAGAAGGGTGCGATATCCGACTACATCGAGATGTGGGATTACGTTGGTGGGATTAGGTTCCGGGGGTTTGTTGCTGAGAAGGAGGACGAGAGGGCCATGTTCATCTTCTTCGATGAATCCGTCATCAATGGTGACCTCAAGGCTGGGTGCGTCATAATGTATATTGCTTTTTCCCGATATCGGTGTACTAACATTTTACAGTCTCATGGCCCTCCTCGAACTTTGCGAAGTCGATAACTTCTCCTGCAACCGTCTCGTCCTTTGCATCGACCGCCACGCCGATCAGGCCGCCCTTAACAATCTGACTAAGGATCTGGGTTGGATCGGCTTCGGTCTTACGACACTCGACGAGTTCAGCCAAGGCGAGGAGTTGACAAGCAAGAAGTGGCTGTTCATGGATATGGAGATATAGATGTTGGGCAGATCGAGGCATGATCAGGGTTCTTGGTGTCTGTCGTTACAAAACAGCATATGGTCCGAGTTTCTCTTTTCCTGGGGAGTTCTGCATAGCGGATGGGGGCGTTCATCCTTATTTTGAAGTACCACGCAAGGAGTCCGGTCGCTGATCTATTGTGCGTAGTTTCCTAGTAAGGTGTTCACCGCTTATCGGTCAATAGTTGAATGCAATGTTTGTATTTTGATTCCATTTCTGTATGCTGTGAAGCTCCAGTGAATAGCCTGCGTCTGATACAGTTTTTAAGCAGGAGCAGATAGACGCATAATTTGTTATGAGTATAATAGTCAGGAACACGGCACAGCATGTGCTTTCGTTGTCTATTTTCTTTACTGTGTCCAAGATCGTACTATTTCACCTCCGACGCGTAGCCAACTACCTGAGAATATCACTAATACCACCATACATAAAGCCCATGTATTTTCTGGGTGGTGCCACAGCTCCGGAGTCCTATTCGTCGGCCAAATCAGCCATCTCAGCATCAACGTCCGCCGTGCCCCCGAACTCGTCCACTTCATCAACCTCCATACGCTCAACTTCGGCTCTTCCTTCCAGTGCACGCATAGCTGGGTTGTCTGTACCGCTGATACCATGAGCCTCCTTCTTACGCTGATGAGCTTCAAGATCCTCCAGCGACCACGACGAATGACCTTCTTGTTCTGCTCGGCTCCACGGCACACTCATATCCTTCAAGAAAGCCTTGGCTGCGCCGACAGCTTGGTCGATGGACAGCTTCGTGCTCTTGGCGTCGAGGCCTTGTTGGATCCATTTGGGGAGTTGGGTTTGTTTCTTGTTGAAGCGTTTGTCTGCTAACACCATGATTCCGTAGTCGTCTTTACCGCGAATGACACGACCAAGACATTGGGCTGCGTGGCGCATGGCGTCGAAGGAGAGGAAGTCTGCTTCCTTGATGCGGTAGGTTTCTCGAAGGAACTCTAAACGGGCTTTCAAGATCCTCGATTCAGTGTATTGGTAGGGTACGCCCATACACAACACAGTACGGCCGTAGTGGTGATCAAAATCGATTCCTTCACTGACCTTTCCTCGTGCGACACAGAGTAGGACAGCGCCGCGGCCGTTGTTGCAAGCTGTGCGGAAGGTTTCTAGGGCGAGGGCAGTTTCCTGTGCATCAGGGGTTTCGACAAGAATGAGTTTATACTTCCAGACCGTGTCGAGGATCTCCATGCCTTGCCATGCTGAAATGATGCTTTCCATGTAAAGATATGACGGGAAGAAGACGACGACGCCATCTGGAGTTAGTTTGCAAAATTCGATGAGCAGGTTGCCGAAGTTTCGCTGTACTTGCAAGTCGTTGCGATGTTCGAATTGCGAGGTAACTTGGTTCTGGTCATTGCCTCGATCGACGATCATGGGCAAAAATGACTTGCGTGTCAGCGTCATGGTAAATGATTCTTGAACCACAGTGTTGAAGTTAAGCATGCGTGGGTACATGTCGAGTGGAGACATAGTTCCGGAGGTGACGATGACGGAGTAGAAGCGTTCGAAGACGGGCTTAATGGCTATCGCAGCGTCCAGACAAGTCAGATGCAACACCGGGTTCGGGACAGTGGCTGTTGCTGATTCGAAAGGTTCGATGATCAGGAGGAACCCAGTCTCGTAGGTAGCTACTAGTGTAGCGAACGTCGCGACTTCTTGGAGGGGTTGGTAGTCTTCGATGTTTGTGAGTTCTAAAGTTCGGACAAGTGATGTCAGACGCTCAGCGCAAAATCGGAGGGGTTTCCTTTCGATGAAAGTAAGATCCTTCAAATGCTTCAGAAACTCTGGCGGTGTGTCTGCAACCACATTGAGAACCTTCATACGAGTCTTGAGATATTCGATGAAACGTTTCAGGAAGGCAACGAAATGTTCAGCTCGCCGTATGTTACCGGGTACGGCCTCTGTGAGGAGATCGTCTGGTAATGCTGGGTTAGCCATAAAGGCCTCTTCGTTTCGTGCTTCGTCGGCAGCTCGGAGGCCTTCGACAAGTTTTGCGTATTCGTTTTGCAACTTCTCTGCATCACTGCTCTTCATTTCCGTGATTTTGCGATCGAGGTTGTTGACACCCTTGGTAGCTTTCCGTAATACATCCTCTGTAAGGTCGATGCTGAGAGATTCGATGCATACGTTGTCGATGTTGTGAGCTTCGTCGAAGACGACGATGCAGTCTTTGGAAAGCTCTTTCGACACCCTGTCTGCGATCTTTGGATCTAGTAGGTAATGGTACGAGTAGATGATGACGTCGCAGTAAGGCATCATTCGCCGGGCTGTGAAGTAAGGACACTGCTTCTGCTGCTCACCATACTTCAGTATGCCATCGAAGGTCCATACACCGGGCGGTATGAGATTGTGGGGCTCTAGGAGATCCAAGTTCTCGTGATATACACAGAGCTCAACATCCTCGCCTCGCTCTTTCTTTTCCTTCACGAAGCCCGCTGTCAAGCTGCGGCATCTGGCATCTACTACGGTTCCACTCTTCTCTCGCTTGACGGACGGATGTAAGCAAAGATTTTTGCGACTCGTTAATCCAAGACCCCGAAACGGTTCCTCATAGCCCAGCTCAGTAGTACGGTACTTCATCAGCGCCTTTAATTCAGCCAGGGCTTTTTCGATCTCGGACATGGTACGCGAACAGTAAATCAGCTTCCGTTTTTCAGGGTAGTGCTGCTGGTAAGCGACGATGAGCGATAAAAGAGACACGGTTTTACCCGTGCCTGAAGGCATCTCGAGGACGCAGTGGCCGCCCTGGTCCAAGGTACGCTTGAGATCGCACATGTAGGCATATTGCTCTGGATATACCCTCGGATACGGGAATAGCACTGGAAGGTTATCGATGAAGAACTTCATGTTGATGATCCGCCGCCCGCGCGGTTTAGTTGTAGCGGAGGGGAGTTGATGGTGACAAAGTTCAGACGAGCTTGGGCGTTGCCTTCCAGTCGACGTGCAATGTCGACGCGACGCGCTACTACCAGATAGCTCTAGCGTACTTGCAGGGATATGCCCCACCATCTACCGCCTACCCACAACTGGTGCCGTCATCAAGCAGAGCCGCATATTTCGCGTAATCCGCAAACCTCTGCTATGTTGAAGTGCATGCGACACTCTGTTTCTTTGGTGTGTTTACGCAGCTGCAGCTAGCCTTGATTCGTCACCTTGCCACGAGCCTCCGCCCACACCCTATACCTAGCCGACAAGCACAGCGACATTGTGCAGCCACCCAACCCCGCCATGTCAAAGCGTACAGCAAAGGCGCAGGCGAGCAGTGCGCGGGCGGCCACGACGTCTTCCTTCGGCGCTTTCGGCAGTGCGTCAGCGGCATTCAGCGCAAGCACATCACCCCTGTCCTACGTGACCGAACCCCCAGATCTATCCGCCATCTCAGACCCGAACGTCATCGTCTACTTCCGAAACCTCTCCAAGAAGGACAGCACCACCAAGGCGAAGGCGCTGGAAGACATACAATCATATCTCTCGACACTGCAAGAGCCAGTGGAAGAGGGCCTGCTGGAGGCATGGATCAAGATATACCCACGAACCTCGATCGACAATGCGAAAGCCGTTCGCCAGAATGCCCACCTCGTCCACGGACAGTTTGCCGTATCCGCCGGCAAGCGCATAGCCAGACACATGCCCAAGAGCGTCGCAGCATGGCTATGCGGTCTTTATGATAGCGATAGGTCCGTAGTAGACGCGACGCAGACCTCCCTCAGACAGGTCTTCAACACACCTGAAAAGCTCCAGAGCATCCGGAAGGTGTATCAACAACCCATACTAGAGTATTGCCGGGATGCGATAGACAAGGAGAGCACAGCGACTCTGAGTGACGAGCGCGTAGTCAGCAAAGACGACGCCGAAGCAAAGTACAGCCGCGTCATCTCTGCATGCATATCCTTGCTGGGTAGTTTGTTGAACAACCTACAACCTGAGGAACTATCCAAGTACCAGAACGACTACGAGTCTCTCATTGGGGATAAGAAGCTCTGGCAGTTCGCCTCATACAACGACGCTGGCATACGGCGCTCAGTGCACCGTCTCCTGAGGACATGCCTCACCAAGGAGGACGTTGCTGTTCAGGAACATCTCGACACTTTCAGCAAGGCCTATCTAGCCGAGGCCTTGAACTCCGATCAGACCGGTTCCGTCGGCGATTATGTCGAGTCCCTCACACTACTCACATCCAAGCATCCCTCCGTATGGACAGACAACTACAAGAGCAAGACTGGGGTCGATAGGCGCCTACGGCAGTTTTTGAAGAAAGGCTCTCAACTAGGACCCCGCGACACATGGGCACGGGTGCCTGAGCTCCTAAAGATAATCCCGAAAGAGATCCTGCCGCAATCTAGTGCCGATTCCGCAGAGCTACTCAACGCCCTGCATGGCGGCATTATTCGCAAGGACGAGCCCAAGTACAATCATGAAGCAGGATTCAAAGCCTACCTCGAAATAGCTGGTCAACTCGCCCAGCGGTTGAGTGATGATGAAAGAACTAAGCTCCTCGAAGAGATGGTGTTGCCAATCATCACGCAGTATCTTCGTCCATCGTTGGAGACATCAGACTGGGCTGTGCCATCCAACGCGTCAAGCCTAATATTCAAAGCCCTAGAGATTGAAGGAATGAAGATTGTGCTCGAACAGCGATGGCCTTCCTTGTCACAGCAGTTGATCGATAACATCAAGACTTCAGCCCCAGAGCAGTCAAAAGATTATGAGAAGTCTCAGACGAACGTCATCCAGCACGCCACGCGATATGCAACCATGCAAGACCAAGCGCTTACCATCAAGACTTTGGAGTCGTTGCGATCAGTCATTTCCCAGGCGTGCTCTTCAATAGTAGCAGAAGCTCTCGAAGTACTCAAAAACAGAAATGGGAAACCGTACGGCGCAGCAGGTACAATTGCAGCCGTACTAAAGCGTAACCCAAGTTTGATATCGTCTACCAAGGCCGAGCAAGACCTAGAGCTGTTTATACAGCAAGATCTTCCAGAGCTGGCGTTGTCTCCCTCGTCCTCCTATCTGATCGATATACTATACACCAAGTCAGACCGCGCGTACTTCAAGGACGCATGGAGCGCGTCTCTCAAGACTGTTCTTAGAGATGCAGACTCTCCAGCAAAGACAAAAGCTCTCGAAGCAATCCTCACCTCATCGAGAATACCAACGTCCTTTGACCTTGCCACATCGGATCCTGAACTACAGAAGTACATAACCACGAATGTACGCGAGGCTGTTGAGGGCTCAGCCGAATGGGATTCGTTCAGTCGCATGCTTCAATCACCAGCAAGGATACTTGCTCCCGAAACAACTGATGAAATCCTTGCTTACATGACGGAAACGCTATCAATATCAAACCAGGCTCCCTACTCATTGCAAGGTCTACGCCAAATCGTCAAATCGAATCCAACAATGCTACGAGAGTTTGTCGCTAGTTCACAGGGCGCTGGCCTTCTTCAAGGCCTACTTCTCGCTTCCGAATCCCCAGATGATGAGGTCGCGCAGGGCGCTAAAACTGTTAATGCCTCGATCCAAACCATACTGTCATCTGGCTCTGACTCTAAGCAATCGATATATAATCTCGTTCAACAAGGCCTGCGCGAGGCTACCCCGACATCTGTCTCAGTCGAAACTTTGGTCGACTTGGCGAAGCAGTCAGTCAAGGCCGGTAGTGATTGGGAAGGAATTTCCCTCGTGTTTCCCAGTATCGAAGACTGGAATGCAGCTCTTGATCCGTTTCTCAATGCTGCGCCAAAGTCGTCTTTGGCTATCACGAATCCACTTGGGGGCGCCGTGTATCTTGTCAAAGATGGCCAGTTGCCTTCTAAGATCAGAACTATGTCTCGCGATGCTGACGGCTACTCTGCTGCATACCGTATCACACAGTATGTGACGAGGCTTTTCAAAAGCCCAGACCTTTTCTCTGTTGATAAGGTTCCTTCTGCGCTTCGAGCTGCCTACCTTCGTAACATTGCGGTTTCCGTGCAGCTTGCAGATGACAACCTTGGACTTGCCGGCGCGAATGGCTTCTGGGCACAATACAACTCGGACGTTGAAGCTGAGGCGATGACCTTCATGTCGGATGCGCAACCATTCGTGACACACGAGCTAAAGAACCTTGTTGAAACGTGGTCGAAGGACGACGACAACGCCCCGCTGTTGTCTTGGGCAACCTCACTCTTATCGGAGATAGATGTCGGCGCAACTTCTCCAGCTTACTATCATGCCCGAGCATATGCTGTCTTGATAGCCGACGCTATTGAGATTACTGGCTGGAAAAATTCACAAACCGCCCAACTTCAGGAGACGCTGAAGTCCACGCGAAGTTCGAAAAACATCCTCCAGCTCCTTGCGTTCTTGAACGCTTTCAGAGAGCCCTTGTCGTATGCAAAAGCTTGCGAGAGAATGTGCAATGAGATCGTCGCCGATCTGACAGGCCTTGATGTCCAGCATAAGTCGCAGGAGGCACTGCAACAACTTGTGCTGTTGAACAGTGTCATGGGTCAGGAAGGTATCTTGGAGAGCATCGCTGGTCCTCGTCTGATGCGCTTTATCCAGCATGTCATCCCGTGGCTACAGGAAGATACAGTCAATCGTTCTACCAAAGCAGAGTTGTGCCGCGCGTTGTCGGTACTGGTTCCCCTGATCGGCGAAATGTACGGTGAGCACTGGGTCGGTATCTTGAGTGCGCTTTCGACGATTTGGTTGGCCACAAAAGAGCTGGAAGCGAACGAGTCCGGCATGGACACTCCAATTCCCCTCGTACACGCATCGTTGAAGCTATATGCACAACTGCGGAGCTTGACCCAAGCCGAAGAACCAAACGACGATCTTCTCGATGCATGGAAAGAGAACGAGCAAGCTGTTGCTGATGGGCTCATCAACATCCTGAAGCATTCGCAACATTTCCCAGACGAATTTCATCAGCCTCTGAAGATGGTCAACGATGTGTTAGCGCGTCAGATCTCCAAGGTGTCGCTCAAGCATCTGGAGTCCACCGAGGAACTTTTCCCTCTTCTCTACGTGGAGTCTCAACCGGTTCAACAGACTGCTTTCGACATCTTACACAAGCAGATCCCTGCATCCCAGGAGCAAGTGTCCATTGACGCAGCATTGGAGAAGACGACTGCACGATTACCCGAGGAATTGCTGTCATTGATCATCGATGCGCCCACGGTCACGGCACTTGCCGATGCCAACTTTGAGCGTAGTGTGCCCTTGCCATTGCGAGGTTATCTATTGAGCTGGCTGCTAGTCTTCGATCACCTAGAGCATGCTTCCTTCAAGGTCAAGAATGACTATGTTGAGCATATCCGAGAGGGTGAGTACCTCCCTGGCCTTCTCGACTTCATGTTCGACTTCCTTGGCCATGCCCACAACAAACCAGTCGATGTCTCCAAGCTTGACATCACGACGTATGAAGCGGATCTTGAACCACCCAAGCGTGATTTGCAATGGTTATTAACACACCTATACTTCTTGTGTCTGCGCGACGTCCCATCTTTGACAAAGACCTGGTTCAAGAGCTGCAAATCACGCGCCATAGTCGTTGCGCTCGAGCCATGGACGGAGAAATACGTTTCGCAACCTGTGATCGTCGCCGCCCTCGAAGCAGTCAACACATGGTCGGAGGAGCAAGCCGCAGCTGAGCCCGACTCGGCCTTCGCGGTCAAAGTTGTCAACCGCGCGCGCGAGATTACTGCATCATACGTGGTCGATGAACAAACCATGGCGATGCGAATCTCACTGCCACCCGCCTTTCCTCTCGCAAATGCTCACATAGAAGGCCTGAACCGCGTTGCTGTTAATGAACAGAAGTGGCAATCTTGGTTGAGGACTTCGCTGGGAGCTATTACGATCTTCAACGGCAGCCTAATCGACGCGCTGACCACGTTCAAGAGGAACGTCGATGGAGCGCTCAAGGGCCAGAGCGAGTGTGCCATCTGCTACAGTATAGTCGGGTCGGATCGCAAGTTGCCTGACAAGAAGTGTCACACTTGCAAGAATCTCTTCCACGGAGTCTGTCTGTTCAAGTGGTTCAAGAGTAGCGATAGCTCGAGCTGTCCGCTCTGCAGAACCAGCTTCAATTATGCATAGATTAGAAGGATGGACTGGGCAAGATAGACTCCAGTGGCTGTTATAGAAAATAGATACTGTAGGCGATGAACTCACATTGTTGACTTGCGTAGGTGTGTGTTCTTGTCAATCGGATGGACCTCGGCTGTACCTGCATTTACCCCACACCTACGCTAAAGTATACCGAGATGAATACTTGCTAGTCATTCACGCTTACACATAGCTTTCTTCCGTCGAAGTATCTGTTCTGACCGTCGCTTCTATACTTCATGATACGGACTCACTGTCTTCTACTAATCAATTGTCACCAATCATGTCGTCAACCAATCCTCAGCGGATCCTGGAGTTCAATTACGACATATCCTGTCCCTTCGCCTACATAGCCTCAACACGCGTACAGTCACTAGCCCATCGCACTCACGCTACCCTGATCTACAAACCCGTTCTCCTAGGCGCAATTTACCGTGCAACAGCCGCACCTCAAGGCGCCGGCGGCTCAGCATCCGATGTCTTCAACTCAGCCAAGAAAGCGGTTACAGCGCAAGGCATGCAACGTACATTGCGCAGATACAACATTCGGTACAACCCGCCACCTCAGCATCCTCGTAAAACGGTAAATGCACTGCGTTTATTGTACTGTGTCAAAGACCATGAAAAGAGGAGGATGTTGACAGACAGGTTGTTCCAAGCTTATTGGGCAGAAGGCAAGGACGTGAATTCCAATGCTACCATCCTGCAGATTGCGAGGGAATGCGGTATTGAAGATGTGGGTGAGGAATCTTTCGCAAATGCCGATGCGAGGAAGGACCTAGAGACTGCTACTGCTGAAGCAATCGAAAGAGGTGCTTTTGGTGTCCCTGGATTCTGGGTCCCGGATGCTCTATGGACGAACGCGAATGGTGAAGAAAAGCGAGGGCGGTTTTTCTGGGGTCAGGATCGCATGCATTTCGTTGAGGCGACCTTACTCTCCCTTTCATCATCATCACGGTCGCCATCTGGAAAACCGTGGACACATGTACCGGCACTCAAGAGCTTGATGCCGCGGTGCGTACCCAGTAATGATCCTCATGGCCGGGTAAAAGTCGAATTCTGGTTCGACTTTAGCAGTCCGTGGGCGTTTTTGGGGTACACACAGTTGGAACGACTAAAGAAGACATTTGGCAAGGACTTGGAAATTGTCATGAAGCCATTTCTCCTGGGCATCTTGTTCCGAGAGATCGGTGCGCCAAATCTGCCAATGGCGGCGGTTAGTCCGGCGAAAGCGCTGTGGTCGAGACAAGACCATGCGGACTGGACCGAGTACTGGAACGCGATAAGTCGGCAAGATGGTGGAAGAGAAGTCAAGTTCTATTGGGCAGACATCTTCCCCATCCGGACACCGACTGTGTTGAGAGTTGCGCTTGTGGAACCGGAGACCACAAACCTGTTGTGTAAGTCGCACATTTTGTTTCGCTTCCCGAGCCGCAGCATGAATCACGAAGTAAACTAACGAAGTATAGTCGAAGCATGCTGGTCTCACAACCAAGACATGTCCAACGACACCGTGCTCCGTACCGTTCTCGACCAAGGTGGTTTCAATGGCGCTGATCTTATTGCTCGCGCGAACGAACCCGCAGTCAAAGCCAAGCTGCGGGCCGCTACCGCAGAGGCAAAAGACATGGGTCTCTGTGGCGTACCCACGTATCGTGTGCTGAGGCAGGGGGATAAAGGGGAGTGGGAGGCGGTTGGTGGTCTGGTCTGGGGTCAAGACGAAATCAACGTTGTCGAAGACCTAATTGCTGGATGGAATCCTGAAAGTTCAGGACAAGCGGCTAGGGTGGTGAGGAAAGAGAATGGCGCGGGTTCGAAATTGTGAGTACGGTTATTTCCAACCCACAACAAGACGCGATGACTTGGTCGAATCTACAACTGTGTTCAAAAGTGGTGAAGATCAAATTATCGTACTATTGTATCATGATTCGTAAGTTAGATACATGGAGAATTCGTCGCACAAAAATAAGCCATTACGCCAAAACCATGCGCCTTCCCTGGGTATCAAAATATAAAAAGAGTGTTAGTCGTACATTGAGTAAATGTTCGTATCTCGTGTAGAGGTGTAGGGTATATGTCGTAAAGGTGCCTAGAAAGTATGCGTGCCACGTGAACCTTGTAGAGAAGTGTCGACGATATCAAGCCGTCAGGTCAACATCACCATAGGCACGGCGCTTCCTTCTCTTAGCTGCAAGCTGGGGTGTCCAGATGCCGCTGAATAGATCCTCACATTCGTCTTCATCCTGAGAATCGAACTCAATGTCTTGGTCGTTCTTGTCTGGTACCATACCGTTGTCTTCTTCATTCATACTCTCATCCCACTCTGCACCCTTGACGATCCTCTTCGTTTCGAGTATGAACTTGCCGACCTTGTATTTCTGGCTGTCCTCGGCTGCATCGACATACTTCCATCCCAACACACTACCACAGCTACGGCAGCTGATGTCAGATACAGTATGGGCGCCCGTCACGAGTTGACGAGCATGAGCCTTGTGTGTCAATGTGTTTGGCAAGTCACCTTCCTTCCATCCTGTCGCCGACATATCCCCACCAGCCAAAAAGCTCGATGTCGACGGCGGCCCTACAAGGTATGCGCGGCCGTGACGTCCAGTGAACCCTTTGCTTATGATGGATGAAGCAGGGATGAGGTCGGCAAGACACTTCTGGCAGCGTAGGTGCGAGGTTGGTCGCGCCGTGAGGAAGGAGGTTGGTTGTGGTGGAGATGAAGACGGAGACGTAGAGGCGGTCGAGGTGCTGATGGCCGAGCTTCGGCGTCGGCGGAAGGGCAGGCTAGGGAATAGGTAGAGAGGAAACGGTGTTGTTGGTGAATTCGGCATATTGTACTAGAAGGCCGGTTATCGGAAGAGCGAAAGTCAGTGAGGTTATGTCCAAATTATAGAGTAGTGTATCGTGATGTGTGTACGGCCTCACGCTGGCGGAGGTGGTGGTCCAGTATAAGTCCGGCAATACCAGACCAGGTCAAGCGCTATAGGAAAAAGGCCCTATCAGGAAGCGATACAGTGTTGCGTCGACGCAATAGCGCTGCGAACTGCCGACTATGCTTTTGTTGTCCGGTGTTGATCACGACTGGACAGCGGTTCAGTTCGTGATGCCTGAGGATCTTGCGGTGTATTGACCTGGGGTGAACAGAAAACGTGACGACGCGTCTTGCCGATGACTGAAATTCGGTCGCTTAATCTCTGAACCCAGGGTGGGAAAGACGCTCACAAAGGAGGTCTGTCCTCCCTTTGAGGCGTGTCGACGCGAAGGAGCAGATGACGCGCTGAAGACGTGGGAATGTCGCGATAAGCGATAAGACGGGCGCCACAGCCGAGGAGGCGGGGAGGTGGGGCAGAACAGACGATGCACCTCAAGTTCTCGACATCGACAGAGGATTCACACCGGAATGCCTTCAGGTTCTGAAAAACAGTGTTTGGTGAAGGACAAAGGCTGGATTCGAGAGAGATGGAGTGATAATAGCGGTCAGTACCTGGTTCTTGCTACCAGCTGCGTGCTGGCCAATCTTGATGACTGGTCAGATCATGCGACCTCTCAAACCCGGGCGTGTCGTCACGAGATGTGCTGGCACTTTCCGATTGTGCCCGGGCAGTACAAACGATGCAACTGGGCCGCACCAGTAGATGACGACTGAACTTACATGCGTAGCCTTGCTATAGTATATGCAAGCGCCAAGCACCATGCCGTAGTATCCGGAATAGGGTTAGTCCCTGGAGATTGCTCGTTTCCCAGGTGGAAGCACTGTTCGCGACGCGTTGATCATCGCGACATTGTATCTCTCATGCTTCGTTAAGCATGAATGATCAACAAATCTGAGGAAGTTTCGCCTCGCAAGTTACACTGCGCCATTACCACCAGACAACAAGCTTCAACACGATGAGATCGTCTTCTGCCAGCGCACCACTCACAGCACAGTATGCTTGTGATATCTGTAGGCAAGTCCCCAGATAACGCGTCCCGCCGGATACGAACGAGCTTCAGCAATAAACGGACGTGAAATCCATCAACGGATGAGTTCGCTAATCATCTGACAACCAGAGAGCGCAAAGTTCGGTGCGATCGTGCCCTCCCGAAATGCAGGTTCGTCTTTCAGCATAGTTTCTTATCCTACGAGTAGCGTGAAGCAAAAGGAATACCTTTAGCCACGTTCCGCTTGGGTACAACTCAGAAACACGACTTTCTCCGTAGTCGTCTCGCAACTGTGTGAAAGTGGAAACAGGAAGCTAATTGCGATGCGTATCTTGCAATGAAGACGTTGCGATCGTCTAAATCAACCATGCAGCTACAATCAAGCACACCCACGTCGCACACGCGACGATCAACTGAAGCAGCTTCAGGAGCGCCTAACCAAAGCTGAGGCTCAGCTTGCGCTTACCACGCCGGATCCACAGTCAAATCCTGCGATATCGGCCATGAACACTCCGATAGATTTGGATCATACAACAGGACTGGATGCAGCCACCGATACAGCGGTGAATAGCTCTAACATATTTACTTCGTTCACTGATGGAGCGGATACCAATATGTTGTTTGACTGGACCAATGAGCCACTGGCCGCGCTCGAGCCATTGGACGATGTGCTCCTTAATCAACATCAGTCATGTCTCGGAAGTGGGCCTGAGGAAGATCTATCTCCGGCAGATCTGGGTCTACTGCACGATCACTACTTCAATTCCGTCTACTATTCCTTCCCGTTCGTGAGCAGAGACAGATTCATAACGGATTCGACGAGTGGTGGCAGTCCTGCGACAAGTGCCCTGGTTTACGCTGTTGCTCTCGCCGGCTGCGCCCACTACCTTGGAGATACAGAGCGACAGGCGACGTGCTACAACCTTGCGCGTGACTATGTTGAAAGGTGTGAACGAAAAGATCTTATGAAAGACATGAACTGCCTGCAGGCTTTGTTACTGATAGGCCGCTTTGAGGCCATGAGTCGGAAATTGGAGAGAAGCTGGTTGACGCTAGGACGCGCCGCTATGCTCTGTAGGCTTCTGAGATTGCATCAGATGGATGCAGTTAGGCATGATCAAGGAATTCAGAACGGAAAGAACGATAGTGGCATTCTATCGGGGTTGCCATATACGGAAGATGTGGCTCTATTAGAAGAGCGACGAAGGACTTTTTGGGCCTTATACATTCTGCAGAGCTATGTCAAAACACGGACAGGCTGGGATTGTCAATTGGGGGACGTCAAGGTTTGGACTACGTCATTGCGACGAATTACGATACGCGGAAACTAACACGATGTTCAGGACTTCCGTGTCTGCCTGCCATCGCCAGGGTTGTTAAGCTCCGATCTAGAGCCGCTCAGGATGCCATATTTGCTAGATGTGAGTACCGAGTCCGGCTCTGAGATTACGTCCTACGCAGGCTGTGTTCTCATGGTCGAGCTGGCTTTGTCCTGCTTCGACCGTGATCAACAGTACGGCATTCCAGGTTTCTGGGACGGCTATTGCACCCTAGTCAAGAAGGCAGAAGACCTTTCTGTCATTCTCAAACATCATCTTAAGGCCACATCCATTCGCGAAGACCCAATAGCTTTTAGCCTTTACATGAACTTGCGCGCTACCGAGATCTTCTTACACGATATGGCCATCATGAAAAGCGAAGAGCAAGGACTTCCACCATATATGAGAATCGAGAACCAACGCCGCGCTACTGCCGCTGCATTCCAGATATGTAACGCAGTAGGCCTCAATTTGCCGTCACCACGGAAGGCAAATAGCGACATTATCATGCTGCAAGCGATATTCATTGCTTGGCCCTTATTCATGGCATTGAAAGCGTTACATCGCGAACTCAGAGATGGAGAGGTTCAGAAAACTACAAACGGCGTCGTGGCCGCGTCCAAATTGCTCTTCGCAGCTCTAGACCATATTGAGGAATCGGACGGACACTGGCACCGATCGTTGACCCATGTTGGTACAAAACTGCAGGAATGGGAAGAGAAGACTGAGTTCAACTCATCGGCTCTGTGATTGTTCCTGCAACCATGAGTTTTGCTGTTGTCACTCGGTTGTAAGATTTTGGAAATCATCGAATAGCATCTCGCCAAGGCCATACACTTCGACGACCAGTTACCGCAAGGGTAGACCACTGGGCTCTATTCGTCAAGAGCAACCTAAAAGAACCGACTCATCTTTACTAGAGTACATATCCATCTCCGTCGTTCTGCAGCAGCGTTGCAGGGGGAAGTGGGTCTGTCGGCCTCCGTGTCCGTCCCCGTGTCCGTCTTACCTCTGAACCGCCCCTTCGATGATATAATACTGCTTTAACCATGAAATCCCATCATAAGTATTTTGGTTTCTTTTTGACCTTACGAAAGGTTTACCAAATCAGTTATCAATTGACCGACGACCGCGAAAGCCGTACCTAATTGAGAACCAGTTGAACTAGCCGAACATGGATGGATCAAACATCACGGAGCATGTAGAAGCAGCGCAAGAGGAGATTCAGACCACACCAAACGAACGCTTCGAATGCGACGACGGCGTCAATACGGCCCAAAAGCGTAGCGCTCGCGACATCCATGGCTGGAAGGTAAACAATCCACGGCAATGCTCATACGCATAGACCTTAGTATTAGATTACGATTATGCTAATCTATTACATGTATTGCAATGTAGTGGGCCACCGCTTACGTTTCTATGCTATCTACCACGCTTCTCTTCGCTCTTGACAACACCATTGTCGCCAACATCCAACCAGCCATCATCAATGACTTTGGGCATCTCGAGTTACTTGCATGGATCGGAACCGGCTTCGCACTCGGCACCATGTTCATTCTCCTTTGGGGAAAGGTCTACGGTGTCTTCAACATCAAGTGGGTTTACATCTTCAACATCTTCTTGTTTGAGGCGGGCAGTGCTCTTTGCGGTGCTGCTCCGAACATCGAGGCACTCATCATTGGCCGTGTAATTGCTGGCGTCGGTGGCTCAGGAATGTACTCAGGCACTCTCACTTATATTTCTGTTCTCTGTAACAGTCAGGAGAAGCCAGCATATCTTGCCGGTAGCACCGTGGTTTGGGGTATCGGCAGCGTCCTCGGTCCAGTGGTCGGCGGCGCCTTTGCGATGAGCAGCGCCACCTGGAGATGGGTATGTATCTCTTCTGTATCCTACTTTGACCTCTGGACTTCGATATTGAACAAATAGTAGGGGTTTTATATCAATCTTCCCATTGGCGCCATCTTTGCGCCTGTCTACCTCCTACTCTTTCCCAGCATCGATCCTCATCCATGCAAGACGCTCGCGGATAAACTTTGTCTGATCGACTGGATCAGCGCCGTCATCTTCCTTTCTGGCTCCACCTGCCTGACAATCACTCTGACCTTTGGTGGAGTCATCTACTCGTTCGTTTCCGGCACTGTAGTCGCGCTATGGACTGTTACAGGTGTTCTTTTGATCGCCTTCATCGTCATGCTGAAATTACACCCCTTGGTCACCAAGGAGAATCGCTTGTACCCTCTGCACTTCTTCAAGCAGCCAACCTTGATCAATATGCAGGTACAAGTATTTCTGTCCTCGGGTATCGTCTTGGCCATGACCTACTATGTTCCCCTGTATTTCCAGTTCGTCAAGGGCGATGGTGCGCTTGAGGCGGGGGTTCGTCTACTACCTTTGATCATGTTCATGGTTATGGCCTCAATGTTCAACGGTTTCTTGATGCCTAAATATGGGTCAATTCCTATTTGATACATTGGGGGCAGCACGCTTGCACTTCTCGGGACAGCTTTGATGTGTAAGACCCGTTCGCTTGACGCGCCTTTAACGTAGAGATGGCCTAGCTGATCCCTTTCGCAGACACGGTCGATGAAAACACGTCCAACGCGAATATCTATGGCTACAACATCCTCGTAGGAACGGGCACGGGCTGCTATATCGTTGCCGGATTTGCTATAGTACAGTCTCTAGTTCCTGCTCACGACATAGCCAACGCCATTAGCGCCATGGCAATAGCTCAAGATCTTGGGATGGTATGTTTCCTTGCCATCAGCAGCAGCCTGTTCCACAACATAGCCGTCGAAAAGGTTGGCAAGGCTCTACCAGAAGTCGCCTCTGCGGAGATCGGCGACCTCATTGCAGGATCAAGCAGTAAGGCTTTCAGGGGATTGTCTGAAGCGGAGAAATCTTTGGTCATCCCGGAGATTGCGAGCGCCATGAGTAGCGTATGGACTTTCTTCCTTGCTGCTGCTGCGCTCAGCGTGGTATGCTCCGTGCCTTTGCTTGTGAGTAGTCTTTAGAGCCCCCTCCCCCTTCGTTCGCGTCACTTTTCTGACGCGCGTCGCAGAGAGCTAAGCTTGGTGGAGAGAAGACTGCAGCAACAGTTGCGACGTAGAGCGAGTTGTGGTCTCTCGGGAAAATTACCTGGAAGCAACCATCTTAGATTGGCTCTAATCTCCCCATAGGAACACCATTCAATTCACGGTCAAGCACTCCAACTTACTTTCTTGATTTCCTCGAAGACTTCTAGGAAGATGCATGTGCTGTGTATATACCTTTGTTTACATGCATCAGATAGAAAACCTTCGTTTCATGCCTGGCTCATCAATGATATTGACTCCGATGATTCGAAGGCCATCTTTAATGGGAACGCGTGATCTAGCTTGACGGAAGAGTAGCAGTACAAGTTTGGGGATCGACCAATGGGAGGCGAGCGGCCGCTCCAGTCCGTCCCCACTTCAGAAGCGGCGCGCACGGCAACCATCTCACGAGTACTATCACTACTCAAGTTATGCGCTAAACCCGGATTCTAGACGGTATTGACCTTGCGGCACTTCTGTATAGCGAACTGAACTACGTCTCCACACATTGACCTTCGTTTTCAACTTCGAACTCGAATGCTATATGGATATCAAATCTTATACAATCTTATGCGACTCTGTCATCGATCGGATTCCTGAAATGACTTCTATGAGCAACAATCACATTGGTCTTCTTCCAAGTCGTCGCATGGGCAAGGGAACCAACATTGTGTAACATCTTCCACACGGTTACCAAACATCTTCGATCAGTTCTACGGGGTCGTTTGCCTAATGATGAACAACGTGTATGTGTAGTACAGAAACAAGTATGAGAATTTGCTGTGCGATATCGATAGGCGTCGACAAAGTTGAATGAAGAGATTTTATGCTGAGCACAGGCGAACAGGAGAAAGAAAGTGAGGATTATTTGTATTCAGGAGAGAAGATTAGGTTACAGGGACTACGTATGTGACGGACGCTCATGCTTGCCTTTGCAACGTTGAACCTCAAACTGTCATAAACGTGTATCTGGAAGGGCTTTGCGATAACACACCCATCTATTTCAAACGACTGCGCAAGGCAAAACGGTGATACGATCACAATTACTGGAGCTAGTTAAGACGTAAATCTACTAGGTGGCAATCACGCTCTCGACTTGGAGATGCAATTCTAAGACTAAACCTACAACAAAAACTGGAAAGCGATGATTTGGCCCTCTCCATGATCACAACTAAGCGAACGACATGATCATAGCAGGTTTATGTACAAGTGGCGACTGATAGTGTTATGAAACACGGACGACGGAGAGGCACTAGCAGCGGCTACGGGTCGCCATCAGATGTATCATCAGGCTTATGCGGGCTGCGCAAAGGTGCTACCGATGGGTCCGAACTTGATGTTTGAGAAGACCACCTGCGCGTTGGGGCTGGCGCTCTCAACATCGGCTGGCACGCCACTGGTGATGTCGCACTCGCCGCGAGCAATACCAGGCTTCTCCGGATCCTGGTCTGTCGGGTAGTTGCTGTCCAGCCAGAGCATGTTGGCGTAGTGGTCGTCCCAGAGACTCATTACGAGTACCATACCCAAGTTCATACCCCTACCCATGGATGCCATGCCACCGAACTCGTTGAAGGGGTAGATCTCCTCCTGGAAAACTTCCTTCTGCGTGTTGCACCATTCCTGAGTGATGGAATTGCCTTTCTAGTAGACTGTCAGAGGCTGCTTCGTAAAACCTTGGAAGATGATCACATACCATGCCAGGAATTGTTGGTTCGGGGTTGCTAATGACCTTGCCGTTCTGCACATAGAAACGCTTGATCTCAGTGAGTTGACCTGAACCCAAGAACTGCGTGACCACTGTCATCTTCTTTGACGTGTCCACCCCGGATTTGCCCTTGCCATAAAAGTCTTTCACACCGACACGGTATGGGTTGAAGTCACAACCATTCGCATCGCAGGTGCCAGCATAGCGGTCGAGCGAGTACGTACCACCGCATCCATCGTCTGTACAGACATTGTAGCCCTCGGGTTGGCAAGAATGCGGGGTCAAAGCCGTGGAAATGGAGTTCGCCTCCCAGATGTCCATCTCGGTGCTGAGCTGCGTCAGATTGGGTACAGTCTAAGTACGCAATTTCACTTACCAGCATGCGCCCTTCTTACCAATGCCTGCGTTAGGATCAGATTGGGATGCCTGCCAACCTTCTGCGTTGGCTTGACCGTCGATGTACTTCAGGTCTCGAGCACATTGAGCGTCGCAGTATCCTGAGGTAAATTAGACTCTAGTCCATCAAGGTACGAACAAATGTCCTACCGGTTCCGTACTTTGCGCCCGGGGTCCCATGACCCTTCTGTGGCATGGATACGAAGTACAAGGCTCCGTTGAGGCCACATGGCAGCTGTGAGAGATCCACGTCGAAGGTAAATTCATTCCCGATAAGGTTAAACATCTATGTCGCGGAGAAATCAGATCATTACCTCGTCGCCAGTACGCTTGAGGGGTTTGCTTACCTCGTAGTTGTTTGCATCCTTCATGAGATAAGTGCGTGATCCAATGTTGGTGGAGTACTGGCCCTTGGTGATGAACTTGAGAGTAAGAGAGTTACCAGAAGTCGTGATGCCATATGTACCACGGTAATCCGAGCCCTCGATGGCACAGTTCTTGGTACAGGCTGCGTTGTCTGGACACGCGGTGGTGTTCCACTCGTTTCCATCGAAGCAGTTGGTGTATCCATTCACAGAATGGAGCCACCGCCAGTTAGCATCGATGACAATTTCTCCGTTGACGTTGGTACAGCTACTACCGCCTTTGCCTGTGCAGCGCTGCCAGGTCATCTTCGGATGGGTCTCTGTCTGCTCTTTGCCGATGACCCAGCTAGATGCGCGATTGGCGCAAAAAGCCAGAATTACCGCCACAGCAGAAGTTGACAACATGATTGGGAAGAAAGATTTGAAGCACAATAGACGATTCGGGGTGTTACATCATGCCTGAATGATGCGATGCAGTCAACTTATACGACAAGTGCACAGCATCAACCCTATCCATCCTCGAGTGCCCAAGAACAGACCGCATATTGCCCAGTCTTCAGATGGCCAAAGATGAGCTCATTCGATATGAAGAGCTGATCATGCGGTATTCTTCCAACGGAACGATAGAGTCCTCATCCGCCTTGGGTGTTAGAAGGTCATCAACGACCAGTCAAGCAGTCTCGTCGTCGCGTAGCCGGATTTCGAGAAAGCTGCTCAAATGACTTCCGTCTCGGCGATGTGCGATTCGTGTGGTCGTTGCAGTGAAGCCAAGATACCGTCCTTTTGTATATGGGGTCCACAGCCGTGGCGCTAGAAGCTGGGTGCGGGGTTAGCGTGCGATAGACGAATCAAAGGTAGTGTCTCATTGTATCAAGAGCGGAATGACAGCTTAGCATTCTTGGTGTCTTCCCCGGATTATTTGTAGTCTTGGATCTTGCTCAGGGTAATTTAAAGGCAGAAAATGGGCAGGGTATATCGCGCGTGCTGCGATGTGTGGAATGCGGGGTTGTAGATGAATTGTGACTATTGTAATTCATTCCACTGGTCTCATTGGCGGGTCAAATACCTACTCGTTGGCATTCAGATCATGCCCTGCTTTAGTATCTGGGCGGCTTTAGTATGGGATCCAGCCTGGAATCTTGTTCCTCAATAATTCCACGATGCAATCCGGAGCCAAACGAAGTGCCGCGATCTCATACGGGGAAAGACCCAAAGTGCCGAGAGCTTGGACTCCAGTCTTCGATATGACAGCTAATATGATGACCAACCATAACACCGTGTGATCGCAGACATCTCGTCGTATTCGTAACTCAGAACGACAGGCTATGCAATAACTTTCGAGCATGGGAGTGTGCTACCGTCTGTCCTCACAATGTCGTTGCTGTCGTGCACCAAGACAGGATGGCACTAAGCGGTACACGTAGGTCGACTGTGATCATGGCCAGAGATTTGACAAATCACAATCGCTCCTTGTTTTTTGAGCTGGAGTCGCGATGTGTATGCGCTGCGCCGATTCGTGAGAGGACGTATGGAGGGTTCGTACTGAGATGGTTCATCGCAGAGTGGGTTACGGCGCATTCCACATGTGAGAGAGATCTGCAATAGAGGTAAGCTGGAAGCTACGAGACTGTTACGGGATTCAGATGTGTTGCACTGTCGAACCTCAACTTGGGTCCGTCGTCGCGTCGTGTAGAACCGGTGGCCCGTCGTCGCGTCGCGGGAGATGGGCCTTCGCCCGCCTTGGCGCGACGCGTGGCGTCATCGTTCTCTTCATCACCTCTTCCCGCCACAGAATCTCAATCGTGACGCATCCATCTCGTGCCCATGGCCAATGTTAGTGATTCATATCCTCGACAGTTGATACACAAATGTATAAAGGTAAGCGCTTGATGCACCTACTACAGTCGGTCACACATGAGCAAGTCCACGGATGTTGGAGAGTTACTCAACAATCGATATTCGTCGCCAAACACTCTCAGCAGCACACCAGCTATAGCGTTCATGTCTGTGGTCGGAGTTGAATGTCATTATCATCCGACGGCTTCGACAAATCAACGGACATCGCTTCTGAGGGACATCCTCGAATCATGGGCTATGGGAGTGTATTGACCGTATCCGGGCATGAAGCCTGATCTCGGACGTATCGGAGCGAGATCTGCTGCAACCCCAGCTGCTTAGATGTCTGCGTATTAGTATTAACTCGAGTGAGGGCAGCTGCAATTTCCTTGCGATACCTTCGCCTTTGAATCAAGCCCCGCATGTCACCACGGTTCTCCACATATATGGTCGCATCTTGAAGACTGCGCCATGTCTCCATCCTTCTACCTTTCCTCCATGCCGATCGTGGCGACCAACACTCCCTGGTTGTCTCACGTTTCCATAGTGGCCATGATTATTGGCTACCGAGTCAAGCTGATCTAACCCAATACAGCAGGCACACTATGCATTGCGCCCCTAAAGACCGTTTTACGGAC